TTTAAAAATATATCTATAAAATAGGATATAAATTATCGCTTCACTTATTCTCAATTGAAGAGCTCTCATTGGCTGTTGCTCAACATTTGAAACAGCGCTTGAGCGCTGGTGTCAAAGCGCCGGTGTCTGTATGAGGATCCAGCCTAAGTACTCTACTTCCAATGGAAACGGAACACTAAATTTAATCCGTACCGGAGTGAAATCGAATTGAGGGTTTCGGTGGAAACTAGACTAGTTTTTGCCCGCATAAACAAGGCCTTAATCTCAATGATCCACGGATTTGATACTACAATCAAATAAGAATGTAGAATGGCGTATGAACTAGCGTAAAGGTCCGTTGTGCCATAAGAGCATCAAACCAAACTAAGCATGTTTCAAGCATTGTTCTATTTTTATGCTACATTTAACGAGAAATAAAGATAGAATGATGCTCCGAAACATTTACAGTAAGACTCTGATCGCACCTCAGAATTCGTGTTGTCGCGCGAATACAAAGCGCGGTATTTTTGTTTATTATCGTCACACTCTGCGCTTGCGTGTTTTCAAATTCGTGCGAACGACGCCGTCAGCGAATAGCGGTGCGTCCCGCCTTAAAGGCGTGCCAGTCGCCGGGCGGCATTACGTCTGACGGCGCAAGAAACGCCGGGTATGATTGGCGGTGCGATCGGCGTCGGTTCGCGAATACTTTGCGCGGCAAGCCAATAGCGGGAACGCGCGCTACGTAACGAGTTATTTGCGACCGTCCCGCCATATTGTGTATGCAGTGCGGGTCAGTGGCGCGTGTACATGGGTCTTTTCTGAGGATTTTCTATCGCGCGACAAACGGCAGAGGTGCGTGAATCTGCCTATCTCACTTACGGAACTTATTGCACGATGGATCCTGCGAAATTGAAAGTGGTTGATTTGCGATCCGCGCTGGCCGAGCGTGGCCTCGACACCAAGGGCAACAAGCCAGTGCTTGTCGAGCGACTACGCAAGGCGCTGGAAGAAGAAACATACGAACGTAAGTCGTATCTGTCATGTATCGGCGAACGTTGCTTGCTTCTATAAGTAAACGATTACTTCCTATCTATTGCTCTTGACACGGTGAAGTTTATCTCATTGATATCGAAGTGTAGATATATATACATACATAATCGGACATTGGATAAAAGTGAACATTGGATTTTTTTTAAACATTTTTGTACTACTTTTATTTTAAGGTGTAACTTATCCTTTGTTTTTTGTATTAATTTGCGAAATTTGTGTATTCTCATTTTTCAACATTTTCTTTGTGTTTACATTCTTGAATGTGTGTTTAACATTTGTTTTTAGTACAGAATCACAATGTTACAACAATATTATACATATATTTGTTTATTGCAGGTAATCAAGAGAAATCTAGTTTGCAAGTAGAAAGTACAGGTGAAGATTTTCAAGAGAGAGTTGCAGAAGCTGCACGATCTTCGCAGTCACCAAGGACACCTAGTAGAGCATCCAGGAGTTCCTCCATGACAACTCCAACAAAAATTTCCACGAGAAATGCCTCGAGGATGGCTACAACACCAAATTCTACAAAAATGTCTGCTTCAAGCAAGTTTGAATTTACTGATAAAACACACGAAGTGTTAGCACCGATGTCAGAGTCTGTCTCTGAAGAATCTGTAGTGCAACAAGAAGAGGAAATAGCAAAAGTGTCTCCAGAAAAGCCTATAGAGAAACAAGACTATGCATCAGAGTGCATAAGTCAGAATGAAATCTATTCATCGTTATCTGAAAAATCTCAGGAAGATAAAACAAAACATATTTTAGAAGATAATAAGTATGAAGTTAATGTTTCTCAAGTACCTGTGACAAAGCCGTCTGAAAAACCTAGTACAATTGAATGTGTAGATCAATTTTCTAAAACTCAAGAAGAACATGAAATAAAAATATCTAATGTAGATGAAGAAAAACTTTGGCAAACTCAAGAACCAGTAGCAGAAGATACAACAAACTTGGAAGAAGACATAGAAATGAAAGAAGATGTTGATAAAGATAATTTTAAGCAAGATATTGATGACAAAGATTTGATAAAAAATGAAAATATACAAGACACAGAAAACTCGTATAATACGAAAGATAATGTTGACATTCCAGAAGTTGACAAATCAACAGACATAACAGTTGATCAGATAAATAAGACAGATGAAATTATTAAATTTAAAGAGAAAGAGAAGAGTGATGAAGATTACACAGCGGAAGATGAAAAAATGGATAGTGTAGATGATGTAGAAGATGTGCATGAGAAAACAGAAGAGGATATTTCACAAGTTGAAAAGGTATATAGTTCAGTTTGTACATAAACTAATTTTTTTCTAATGATTTTATCATTTTCTAACTTAACTTTGCTATTTTTATGTATATGATAGACTGCAAAAATGATCAAAATGGAAAAAGAAGACACTGTATCGCACACAGACGAATCAAAGCGAAAGGAATGCAATGACATGAAGAGAAAACGGTCTGTTAGTCCAAGTTCGTCCGAAGTTCAGCAAACATCCCCCGTATCACAAAAACCAGAGGATGAACCAGATTTGGACAAATACAACGTAATTTTATCGTGGTGTAAGTTGTTTGTAAACTATTGTTCGGTGTAAAACGTGGCAGTTTATTTGTTTGAATGTGTGTTTTTGATGATACGCGTCGTTGTAACTATGTTTTAACTTTCAGACGATTCAGATTTGAATTTAATTATCGACAAAGAAGGATTTGTCTGCGCTACACCTATGCATACCGATGATTTCTGTCATATGTGGGCTGGCGCGAGAGCATCTTACGGTTTTATAAGCGGGAAAGTCTATTACGAAGCAAAAATTACAGAGCACTTTTCTACTGCGGAAAAAGATGAAAAATATTCATCTACACTCAGAATTGGCTGGTCGGCTCCTTATACGTCTATGCAACTTGGCGAGGACAAGTTAAGTTACGCGTATACAAGTACCGGACAGAAAGGTACCGATGGAAAGTTTGTGGATTACGGTTCGAAATTCGGCAAAGACGATGTTGTGGGTTGCTATCTTGACATGACACACGAGAACATTGTGGAATTGACTTACACGGTAAACGGCAAGGATCTCGGATCTGCGTTTAGTGTCTCCAAGGAAGAGTTGGGCGACAAACCTTTGTTTCCACATATTCTGAGTAAAAATTGTACATTTGTCTGCAATTTCGGACAAGAAGAGGCGTGGTGCGAGCGGATTCCGGAATATACCGTAGTAGGTGACGTTGAACTTCAGGATAGAGTTCCAGGCCCATGCAGACCGGATGAGAAAGCGGATTGCGAGATGATAATGATGTGCGGCTTGCCAGCGGCAGGAAAAACTACTTGGGCGAGGAAGCACGCGGCTGAACATTCAGACAAATTGTATAATATTTTAGCACTTCATAAATTACTTGAGAAAACAAGAGTACGTATTTATGATAAAATTAAAGAGTTTAATTTGCTATGACAGATATATAATTTTGAGACTGTCTTAATTTTTTTTTTTTTTTCAGGACGTTTCTCTGTCGGATCAGGAAGAGAAAGTTTGTCCGAAAGATATTGCTATTGACAAGTGCAATCGTGCGCTTGATCAACTAATTGACGTAGCAAGTAGTAGAAGACGTAACTACATATTAGAACAAGTATGAATATATACTTATAATATGTGTGAACGATTAGATAATGAAATATAGATGTTATTTTCTTGTAATCACATTTTTTGTTGTATTGTTATACAGAAAAGCAACGTATATTTTTCCGTACAAAGGCGTAAAATGCGAAATTTCTGTGGTTATCAACGAAAAGCTGTCGTTGTTATCCCTACAGACGAAGAATACAAGCAACGTTTGTCAACGCACGATGCAATCGAAAGAAATACCTCGTCAAATATAGATGAACTCAAAGGTGTGTATATATTGAGATACTGTCTTCAATAATGTAATATTCAATATTCCATATATTATGTAATATATTATGTATAATATATATTATGTAATATATTCAATATTAAAATACAGAGAAAGAGCGTGTTATTAAACTTTGAAAAAAATAATTCAAGTTTTATGTTTAACGTTTATGCTACAGCAAATTTCGCTGCACCTTCGGCGGGAGAATCTTTCGATGAAGTCGAATGGATCGGACTCGACGAGGAAAATGGTAAAAAGCTTATTGAGAAGTACAATAAGGAAGGCAAAGAGGCTGGATTCAATCAACAACCGGTTGCAAAACGGTCACGTTTTGATAATAAGAGTGAGAGTAACAGAAACATACGCGATTCTCGAAACAATCGGGATAATCGAAGAAATAATTGTGAGTGCTGTTATTTGCAAATATCTATTACCACCGCTCATTCATGCAAAATATATTGTTTGTTATATTGCATATTTTTCTGAATTAAGATCAAGACAGAAGTCGCAACTCTGTGTGGCGTGGCGCTGGTATGGGAGGTTGGAGAGGAGACAGACCGCAAAGGGGCGGTTATATGAGGCACGCCGGTAGTTACGGACCTCCACATGCCCCATGGAGATTGCGAGGTCGAGGCGGACCCGCAATGATACGAGGAGCAGACAGAAGACACGGCGGCATTGAAAGAAGAGCGGGAAATGACAGAAATCGACATGTCTCACCTAGACAGGGAAACTGGGGATCCGTAAGGTAAACATATAAGTGCATTATGTCTGTTTCTGAATTTAAAAAACTTTAGAGAGATACTTTTAATATCCAGATATAAGCTTAATAAATTTATTTTTCCAAACTATAAGCGCACATATATATTTACATTGTAGCAGTAATTATCAAGGATCACAACAATCCAGTTGGAATCAGCCAGATTCCAATTGGTCGAGCAGCAGTCAGCCGAATAGCCAGGCCAGTTGGAGTCAACAAAGTGGTGGTGGCGGCGGCTGGGGAGGTCAGTGGGGAGGTGGTTGGAAAGGATACGGCCAGAGTAACACGTACGGTCAGGCATATAATCAGGGATACGGCAATGGCAATTGGAACTGGAATCAACAGTATTACAACAACCAGTATTGGGACCAGCAACAACAGAGCGGGCAGACCACCGCGACTGGTGGTGGTCAAGCTGCGAGCAAACAGTAATCCACCACCGTATATAAATCTTGCAACAGCGGAAATCGAAACTGAAAATATCAGGTATAGATTTATATACACACACACTTATATTTTTCTGCTAAATGGAAATCCTTTTTATTTTAACAAGTGCCGAGTGTTAATCATGTTTGTGTGATCGTAGGCGTATTTCGCATATTTCATTTAGATTGCGCAAGTTAAAAGATTCGCGACGATCTCTGTATGCTGCGGCATAAGAGCGAAATGTAGTTGTTTGAAAGGATAAGAATACAATTTTATACAAACGAGGACAAACTACATATTCGCTCGGCATGCGAGTTGCACACTCACATATATGTAATATAAAAAGAACGTATGTCACAATTATGTTTTACATATAAGAATATATAAAAAGCTGCTCCGAGTAAAAGGTTTATCAGCTTTTAACTTTAAAAGCTTTTATCTCGGAGAGTTACGCAATCAATTTTAATATTTTCAAAATATATATATTGGTAAGTTTTACATCATATACATCTTATATTCAGAAGTTTCTTGCGATATGTACGTTTCATTGACATCTTATTCTCGATAAGGGAGTTACTAGGATTGTGCTCATTAAATTTTTTTTTTTTTTTTTTTTGTAGGAATTTGTTTGCGATGGATTATATTAATATTACAAATAAATTAACTGAATTTTTAAAAATTCTGTAAACTTTATTCGCTGTATATATATAATATATGTTATGATCAAAACTCGAAGGACGAGTGGTCCTAGGATTGACTAGTCAATGCACGGAACAATCAAGTTCTTGGTCCTGAAATATGCTTTTTTAGCGTACTTTTCAATATACGCTACTATTGCAGTAACATATTATAAAATTAGATTGGGTTAGGTTTTTACAGGAAGAAAATGCAGGAAAGGGGTTTTTCATCTCACACGCGTACGATAGTGTGTGACCAAAACGCTTGGTTGTTCCGCTCATTAACTAGTCAATCCTAGCCTTTCAAACTTTGACCATAACATGTATATACAGGGCCGACAATTAGTATAAAATTTCTCGCAGGCAAGTGAAAGGAGTAAAATTGAGTCGAAAAGTCCTGAATCATTTTGTTTCTATTACATATAGTAAAGGAGTAATTATTGAATAAATCAAGCCAATCACAGTGCCGACCTTTAGTCGGGCCGTACGTCAGTGAGCCGCGCGGAGCGCTTACGCACATTAGACGCGTGATTCACTGAACTTGCTCCCGGCTAAAGGTCAGCGCTGATTGGCTTGATTTATTCACTAATTACTCCTTTATTATATGTAATAGAAAAAAATGGTTCAGGACTTTTTGACTCAGATTTACTCCTACCTGCCTCCGAGAATTGTTAAAGTACTTGTCGGACTCCCTGTATATATATATATACAGGGTGTCCCAGAATTGGTTTAACATCTCTCGTACATAGGTATGTACGCGGATCTTTGGTAATTAAAATCTCGGTAACTATTGCAAATCTAGCAAAATGGTATAGGACTTTTCACCTCAGTTTTATTCCTTCTACCTGTCTACAAGAGATGTTAAACCAATTCTGGGACACCCTGTATATATATATATACACACACAGGGTGTCTTCTGCCGTATTGAACAAATGCTGATTTTCTTACGTATAATAATTATTATAATAAATTATTATGCGTAAATCGAGATCATTCTCTTGTAGCACTTAAAATATGAAATATCACATCGACATAAACACAGCGGATATCGCGCTCTCATAGTTCGACGAAGATTCTTTTAGTTTTGCGTGCACACATAAGAGAGCTCACGGCTAAGTAGTTGTTGTAACGTAACTTGTTCTTACATCGCGCAACAAAGAGTAAGTAAGAAATCGATGTTAAGAATATATAACAGCGGAGTTTTGAGGATGATTCTTATTGGAAAAACAGGTCTAATAATCTAAGTGCATTATAACACGTGTAAAATTATGTATAACATTCCCGAATAGGGATATAACTTTTTATTGCACTTTGAAAATCAATTATAAGAGAAATAGTAGCAAGACAGAAAGAAGAGGAGTACTGCGTATGGGTACAAATTAATGCAATCTCGATGCATTAAAATTAAAACAAAAAGAGAAAAAAACAAAACAGACAATGGATATAAATCACCTTCAAAAAGTTCGTGTAAATATGTACAGATTGTGAAAGTAAGTATTACGAGAAGAATATCGATCTATTTATACAATTATAAATAGATTGTATAGCGAATTTGGTTAGTTGCACTAATGCGTCAATAATTAATCGATCTAAATTGGTGTAAATAAATCATTGAACATCTATGCGAACCTATATTTCTGTACAACTTTGCGAATCTTTGCGCGGACTAGATGTGTATCACAAAAAATAGCGACAAATGTGTTTAAACGATTATAACGCGATTTTGTCGTAAGTTACAGGATAAAGATGCGAATAAGCCCGGACATTTAATTTATAATTCTGTACGGATTCATTGATGTTTATTGATTGCCTATGTTTGTACATTTGGATAACTTAACAAGAATACACACACAGTTTATCTGTACATTTTTTTCTTTTGTTTGTTTTTCAAAAGTGTGCACTAGTGCGTCCAGTCGAATTCGTCACTGACAAAATTTTAGCGGTGTCCTTGATAAAAAGATGAGCGAGTGAGTGAATGAACGAGTGAAAGAGGGAGAGAGAATACGCTCGCGAGGGGAAATGTATAGGTTTCCTCTGATATATGTGCGCGCACGCGCGCGCGCGTGTGTGTGTGTGTGTATGTATATATATACATGTATATATACATCTGAAGAAATATATATACATATATTTTCTTATTATGTATGTATTAAGGAACATACGTATACACGTACACTTTTATACACACACACGCGTGCATGTATTGTATATCGTTTATCTTTCTATACCACTGATAATGTATAAAAAAAACAAAAAAAAAACAAAACAAAACAAAGAAACAAAAATATGCGCAAATAAATTATTCTTGAACACACGGTTTTTTTGAAATATATGCAGGTTCTTCATTGCACGACAGATGATAACGCGACCTTACGCAGTAGTTGCTTGTTTGTTTCTTAAGTCGTTGTAGATTTTGAGAAAAAAAAAAAAAATAGAGAGAGATACGTCTCGTATCTTTGCATACACGATATAAGTAGTTTTGCGCTAAACACATGCTTTTTTTGTTTAAACGAAAACCGATATTTCCTACAGTATGATTAATGTACACATTGTTGTTTTCAAATATTCTATGGGCGGCACTCTCGACTTACAATAATGCATTTGTTGTCTTTGTGTACTTCCTCTGTTGGAACAATTTAATTCCGTCATATTCTCTCTCGGAGAAAAAAACCACAAGAGTGCAAATACCTCATATCTATCTTCTTCTCACGAAACGTTAGTTTGCTTTTATCTCAGCTCACACATTTTCTATGTCAATGATATATTTTTATATATATATATAAATAAATATAAAGTTTGTATGTGTGTGTGTATGTGTGTATGCACTGTTTGTTAACATCGATCTTGATAGTATAATCAGCGTTAGCAGCTCGCATGTGCTCACGATTAACGAAATCAAAGATTTATATGATTTAACGATTCGCACACGCGCGCGTGCGCATCTAGACATCTACAGCTCAAATTGTCTTTTAATTACATTTGTATAGAGAAGAGAGTGAAATATTTTCACACAAAAAATATTTCTTTACAAACAAAATAGATATCCATGCAGAATTTTTTCTTGTAATTTTTCCATTTGTCCGTAGAAAAGATGCTTTTTTTCTTACGTTCCAAGAATGCTTGTTTTGTTGTTTCAACTGTACATTGTGTGATGTGTTTCGAGCTGAAGAACCTTCTGCGTAAAACCGAAAAATAATGTAAGTGTAATACATAAAATAAGTACATATAACTAAATACTATAAGTAAAATTAAAAAGTATATATATATTAGAAGATGGAGAGAAAAAGAGCAAGAAAGAAAGAGAGAGACAGAGAGAAAGAAAAAGGAAAGATATACTATTTTTTAAGAAATAATCAGAAATTCTATTTAACTTACATGTATAACGTATATTATTGTGTTACCATAAGTGAAGAAAAAAAAAAAAAATAAAATCACAATGTTTATACTCCACATTGTGTAATAACGGTAATCACACGCGTAGTGTCGTTTCCTGTACAACAGGGGAAAATAAAATTTATAGAATACATAATAATAATAATAAAATAGACATTTTAGCTGTTCACAAAAAATGTACAAACTTATTCCTAAAAATAAAAAAAAAAAAAAGATTCTCTTTATTTGGTCCTACACTTTATTTCCAGAAATAATGTAATGATTTTTTTTTTGATGATTCTCATCGTCAGAGTCTTGTGTAGCTCAAACTTATTTTCTAAACTTAAATTACACATCAGGAAGTTACACACACGTAAAAAGAATGTTTTGTGACAAGATTATATGTGTAACGGATGGATAAAAGAAAAAATTATTTGTGATAGATTTACGTAAGGAAAGTTTTTCACATAAGACTATGTATACATACTAGATTGATAAGAATTGAAATATTTGTGGTAGATTTACGTAAGGAAACTTTTTCACGTATATTTGCCTTCATCAGAATACAATATACTTAATTGTGATTTGTACATATATCTGTATACTACGTAAGAGTAGTTGTGAAAGCTGTCGTCGCAAAAAATTGCTTCTTTTTTGTTTTTTTTTTTTGTTTTTTTTTTAATTACATATAAATGTGTTATAATAGAGAGTGTTAATTATATTTAAGCAACCTCGGAAGGCGTGTTATTACGCAACTACTTTTACAAATGATCGCGATTTGAAAACCGTTTGCTAATGCATAAAAAAGTTTTAGCATTTTAATATGTCTATATTAAACAGTTTTTAAAATGAGATGGGTTAATGACACACACACACGCAAAGTTGCTTAATATAACACATAATGTAAAATCGCGCAAATAAAAAGTTAGTTAAGTGAAACGTAAGACGAAAGATACCTCAACGAAAAAGAATGATTAAATCTTGTCTTGATCGTTTTAGTATGAAAATACAGCAACTTCTTTATTTTTAAAACACATTACTTTTCAATCGGTCTCGTTCAATCTTGTACTAATAATAAGTATAATAAACTTATACATAATCAAATATACATTTTTATACAATTTGCGTGTACTATACTACGCGTTGTTTTTTTTCTTTTTTTTCAAAACAATGTACACTGCACATTCCGCCAGGCTTTAACCCTAATCCCGTAAACCTCTGAAACCTCTAAACTTGTGTTTCCAAGCGATTTTTGAAAATGAAATATCTTGCAAACTACTTGGTGAGGGAATTTCCAGAAAATATCAAAATGTTATTTTCTTAGTTTTGAATAAAATCCCATGTACTTTTACAGATTGTTTTGCAACGTTTTAACCAGTAAAAAGTCACGTCGGACACATAAATGTCAGAGTTTACAGGATTAGGATTTTAATGTCCTTAATATACAACACGATTTTTGAAACAAAAGCATTTTAGAGACAATCGTTATTACACACGCCGCTATATATGTATTTGTAACGTTTTTCTATGCATATCATAGAAAAAAGATTTTGCCCGTCTACTGATGTAGACACAAACGGGATATTCTTACACAAATATTATATATATAATATAATATCTGAATGCAGAGTGAGAGATATATAGAAAAGACGTAAATAAAAGCGCATATATATTAATTACAATCATAAGTCACTCAAAATATTTCACAAACAATAAGTTACAAGGGTGTGTATTCATCCGTGAAAAACTCGGATACTTGTATGAGATTTTGAACGATCGGTTTTGAGTGTATTAAAATCAGAACGTGAAGAAACGTGGAAACTGATCGAAAGATAATGTCAGCATATTACTAGTTAAATATATATATAAATATATATATATATATATATTCGTTTATCATATTTCAGTTATATCTAATGATATATGGTTGTTTGATACAGCGCTTTCTCTCAGTTTGATATCCAAGTCTTTACGGGATGCTTAAATTTACAGAAAAAAAATATATATATTTATTAATATATAAAAAAACCAAATCAATTAAATTTATATCCTTCGTGTTTTGACTAATAACTATATATATATATAATTAAATTATATATTAAACAAAAATGTTTTTTCTTTTTTTTTACATATTTTTTACACGTGCATCTAATTTGAAATTATATAGTGAGTCAGAGGTCCTGTGTTTGCGATTTTATCACTAAGTTTTTTTTTTTATCGATTCCGATCCACCGGCGTTCCGATCCTACGCTACTCGAATGTTGTTTAGAACCAGTTTGATCGTCTCCGATTAAATTTAGTCGGCCGATTATATTTCATTGGAATTAGCTAGATTGATCGACCGAGTAACTTAATCCTCAACGCTCAACAGCTAGGCTCGGCATTTAATTCTATCATAATTCTTAATTCTATTATCTATAATACCGACGTAGCTTTCGACGTAGAATAAAGAAAGATTGTTTTGTCTTGTTCTCTCTCTTTTATTTTTATGCAATTTAACTACCTCAGGCTGCGTGAACACAACCAAGTCTGTCGTTCTTTACAGTTGTCAATGAACTCTTTCGAAATTACGTATCCAGTCGGAAGCTATCAATATGCGTGTGTAATACTAGTGTGTGTGTGTGTGCAGATGCGTAAATTCATAAAGTAAAATAACACTGTAAACGCTGTCCAATATCATGATACAATTACACAAGTTTTATATTTTTAACGTCACATAAAAGATAACCGATCAACATGATTCGATTGTATATATGGGATATACGTGATGATAACATTTTTCGTTTCTTGTGGGATTTAAATTTTAAAAACAACAAAAATTTGGATCGGAATAAGTTGAAAGTTTCGAAAAAAAAACTTACATCTCTCACACACCGCGTGTTCTTTTCAACGATCTTAGAAGGCCAGCTTCGAACAGATTTCTTCTTTTTTTTTTGTTACACAAAATAATAAATATCTCCATGATTTATACTTATTTAAGGCTCCTGGGTACTCGATGCGGCCGCCACATTGTAACACAAGAGTACCCAAAAGTCGTAATAATACGTATTTAACATCCTAAAAAGAAAATTATATCAAACACATGTAAATGGCAAGCGCAACATAGATCTCATAATTAAATAAAACATCTCTCATAATTAAATAAAATAAATATTTTTCGTGTGCATGCTGCTACATATAAATGTTATGGCCAATGTTAATGCACATTGTGCGTAAATATTGAATCTCTTTGATGGATACTTTCGTCTTACGTTAAAATAAACGTAATACCAAAAGTTTCGATAAAAATAGATCGAATATATGTGTAAGGATAGTCTTTATATAATAAAGGGAAAAAATATAAGATTCGTATATATATATATACATACATACATACATAGTTGTATATATGTATGTGTCTCTGTGTATATATATATATATACATACATATATATATATATATATATACACACATATATATCAAACACATTTATCGTAATATGTATATCTACCATAATGTGTAATGCAATAATAAATATATAGAATCCTGAGTATGTATGTACAATTTTGGAATCACTGCGACCCACCCAGTCTCATAGTTTTGACTATAAGAATTCAATATCAATAAATTAAATACATATATTAGTAAAGATTCTTTTTTTTTTTTTTTTTTTTTTTTTTTATAAAGCGAAGAAAGTATGTTACACTCGATTCAAATAACAGTAGGATTATGAAAAAATATATTATTTTTGTGCAATATAAAGCACATCATTCTCTCATGTACTCAAGTATACACGCGATCTTTAATTCGCATTCTCTTACGCAGTCCTCTCTTTCATGCAATGAGACGGTAACGCCCTATATGTATTTTATTTTTTTTGACAATTCTCTTATGACATGTGTAATTTGTACATTTATAGCTATATGATATCTATAAAAAAAATGTACAAATTTTCTCTATACAAATTTAGACGTCGCACTTATACATTAATGTATTAGTCACTCATAGAAAAGAGAATCAGTTTAACTTCCCTCTCGGTTATAACACTCCCAATTGTAAATAAAGTTTTGTTTTTTATTTGCACATAACAATTCTAAAATAAATCTAAACATTGCCTGCAACATAATTCTCTGTGTACTTCATCATCGCTAATCAACACATCTTTATTTTTTTATTATATTACTTAAAAGGTCGGAAGAGAGAACCAAGTAATATATGTTATATAAATCATTTCTATAATACGAATGTTGAAAGAAAGAAAAAAAAAGATCAAGATAGAATTTTCTAGTATAAACAGATTTTATTCTTGCATGCGTAACTATATAGCGATATAGTAGCTATGTAGTAACAGTATCAGTGGACGGGTCAAAGTGTATTGAAAAGGAAAGGTTCTTCTCTTTTACATAATTTTTCTCATTGAGAATAACAGAGAGGAGGTGTGTATAATTTTATCTCTCGATTTATACATAAAGTTTAGAATAATTGGAGTAACTATTTAATCTATTGATCTATAAGATTTTTATATGTATACATGTATAGTACAGGCAGTGATATGAAAGTATCTTTTTCACGTGTTAAGTTATAACCATAATAATGTCTCAATAACATATTGAGAGATACAACTTTTTTTCAACAAGCAAATACATTTTACGCTGCCTGTACGGTATGTACACATATAAATTCTAAATTAGTCTATATTATGTACACTATAATATTATCGTTGTGATAGTATTACCTACGGTCACGGATTAAGCCCAGCAGGTCTTTTGCGATTTCGTCTGTTGCTTTCTAAGAGGAACGACAAATCTAACGGATCTTTTTTATTCGGCATCTTCTGGAGTAGATTAAGTAGAATAACGTTTAATTTTTTCCTCTGTTCTTCTCTCTGCAAAACCAAAACCACACAAATAAAATTATCAAGTCAGAGATCACACAATGATTATTAGAGTTTTCAACGACATCGATTACCTGAGCGTATGATGTTGACGTAGACGGTGAAACTGTTAAAAGTTCGCCCGACCTGTGTCTAGTTCTATTATTACATTTAAGTTCTTTGTTATGCGTTTTCACATTATCGCCAGATTCTGACTTTTGATTTCCATCTGCTTCGTGATTGTGTTTCTTTTTGTCTTTGGACATTTTGATTCCATCCAAACTATGAGGCTGTGAAAATAAATAACATTGTCACTTGATAAATATTATATGTCATGTTTAAAAATAACAATCTTACTAGATACACAATAATAATCACACTTACCAAATAGGTGCGGTAATGCTTTATACGTTGTGGGAAGGTTTCAAATGCATAAGGTTTTGTGCATACCGCATGCCTGGCTCTGGCCACTTTCGTGAACAGTCGTGCCGCGCGATCAACACGGTATTCGCACACATAAGTATGTTCAGGTGTGGAACCAACTGGACGTCCTTAATTTAAAAAAAAAAAAAGAAAATATAAATTAAGTTTTGATAACGGAACGACGATACCTTCGCGAGTAGCGGGATGATGAAGAAATATGTATATAATTAAATAATAATTGTTTACCTTTACAAAATGTATGAGGATCTAACACCCAACATCGTTCGGCCACGAGATCGCAAGGGACAGCCTCGTACAACGGGGCGCACACAACTTCGTTCACGTAAAACTTTCGCGTTGGTTCGTGATATGTTTCATGTGGCCTCAGATAATGATGTCCGAACACGAACTTTTCACCTCTACGAATTGAAGATAATTTGATTTTGAACAAAATCAATCAATAATAAATTTCCACTCATTAGAATTACTTCATCATAACGGGGGGGTATATAAAACTTACTCGCGATTCTTCCACAGACGTTCGATTCTAAATATGTCCATTTGCTCATAATCGGGTTTCTGTATGGTTTTGTAAGTATGTTTGTCGGGTGTATCTCTCAAAACGTACACCGTGTCGCCTTGCCGAAGCTGCAAGTCGCCTCGCATCAATGTCACGTAATGCTTCTTGTCCTCTTCGTCGTCTTCGCCTTCCAACGGAATTTCCAGATCGACCTCACGAGGTTGACATCTCTCGCAGAGGTAAGACTCAACACTCGTGTCCGCTTTAACGCAGTCGCAATGTTGCCAAACGAGACATCGCTCGCACTGAATCATTAAACCTTCGTCTCTGTATAAACACACGCACACAAAACTATTATATATAATTTTAAAAACAAATATATAAATAATGAAAAAAAATGTGAAGAAAATATAAATATAACTGTACTTCTCTTCTACTTTTTTTTTCGCTCTACATACGTGCTTGTATTAGATATACAGGGTGTCCCAGAATTGCCGTACAATCTCTCGTAGGCAGGTAGAAGGGATAAAACTAAGTCAAAAAATCCTGAACCATTTTTTTTTATTATTTATAATAAAGGAGTAATTATTGAGTAAATCAGGCCAATCAGCGCAGACCTTTAGCCAGGCGCACGTCAGTGAGCCACGCGCCTGGTGTGTGTGAGCACTCCGCGCAGTTTACTGACGTGTGCCTGGCTAAAGATCTGCGCTGATTGGCCTGATTTACTCAATAATTACTCCTTTATTATAAATAATAGAAAAAAATGGTTCAGGACTTTTCGACTCAGTTTTACTCCTTCTACCTGCCTACGAGCGATTGTACGGCAATTCTGGGACACCCTGTATATTAGACCGATATCGATGCAAACTACCGCTTTACCTGTGCAGTCCGCAAATACATCTGATTACATCTTCCTCTCCGGCAGTTGAGCCACGAGGTGGCAGAAAACCCTGCGAAGGCGGAGAACCCATCGCGTCTGTGATAGCGTCCACGAAATCGGGTTTACTTCCCAGATACAGCTTCCGAAGTCTCGCCGCGGCAATTCCGACCTCGGACGTTCTGCCGAAGAATCTCACATTGTTGTCGAAGAGCTTTATCATATCGTGATCAAAGTGTTCCGCGGTCTTGTAATGACCAGTTCCGATACTCTGATCTATCGTATTCAGATCGATAGGTTCTGTTATTTTCTCGTAGTAATCTGGCAATTTTCTTTTGGGAGGTAGAGTCATAAACGGAGTGCACAACGGCTGACCGTTCTCGTCATTCGCCGTTACGACAATTGTGTACAAATCTTTCAATACCTATAAAAAAAATGAACAAAAAAATTAAGAGGGTACTGGAGCCCGGCTTGTAAACTGGATAGAGACCTGTAAACCGACGTTTTTATAACTTAAATTTCTTTATTTTTTAATTTTATTTACTGCACAACATTAAAAGCGTTTCTACAGAAGCAAATAAATATACAAAACTATATAAATATTTTGAAAATGGGTATATAATGCTTTTTTGAACTTGTTTTTCATTCATAATGATAGTATATGGTATCAAATACACATCATCACAATATTACTTTTTGTGCATCAATTAGACAACCAAATCATATTCTGAGTGTTTCATTAGATTGTTTTGTGTCGTACGTATTGCTGTAGTTCAGTGTAAATACGTACATAAGCTTAGAAATAATTTTATATACATGAATATGGTGAGGTTATAGAAGAAAACTGTATAAGAAAAAATTTATGCTGAATTTTGACATTCCAAAGAACAACAGCAAACTCTTAGCATAATTTACTTATTTCTGTAGAAGCATTTTGGATTTGATGCAGTAAATACGGCACAAAACGAAATATTAAAACGTCGATTTACAGGTTTCTATAGTCGGTATCCAGTACCCTCTTAATACATGATATCTCGATTTAGATTGCAATAGTTTTTTTTTTTTTTTTGGCAAAATGATTTTCAAAAAATGACAAATTACCTTAGCTAGTTTTGCAGTCTTGTGTACTTCCGGATCGTCCTGTGCTTGAGCGAGTCTACGTGTTCGTACGGTTCGCGCGTTGGTGTTGGTCAGCGCGGTTAGCTGCGAGTAGAACGCGTCGGACTGCGCCTTGGATTCGCCGGAAGTTTTCTCCTTCGTGGCGGTCGCGTTGCCGACCTTTGCTTTCCCGTTTTGCAACTGAACGTGTTGCACCGATGCCGACTTAAGCCGTCGTACTTTCTCGAGATTTCTCAGCAAGAAACAATGATGATCGCGGGCGAAGCATCGCTGCTGATACGACATGGGTTTTGGCTGCGGTATATTGTGCGTTAGAGTTGGATCGCCCACTTTGCGAGATTTACAGATGCTCTTGGAGTTAACCGCTTGTACCGCGTTCGACTTCCGAATGTTCTTGCGCGGTCTACCTACCGATCTTCTCTCGGTAAGTTCCACTTGTAGCGGCAACGAGGGAACGCTCCTCACCACCCTCTGACTTTTTCCACCTGTAAATTTTAAATTAAGATACTTCCACAAATCTCCAAAAAAATAGGGGTAAACAGTACAGTTATTGGCCTCCCAACAGTAATTGGCCATGTAGTAAAGAAGTACCAAATATAAATAAATACTATCATTATATTCTAAATTATAAACATTTTAATATTAATTAAGTTTTTCTGCTCCGAATAAAAGTAATATTATAGTATTTAAGAAGCTCAAAAACACTTATTGTTATACGACAAACATTAGCCAACTGGCCAATCACTGGTTTTAAGGTTATGAAAACCATATGACAGTCATTGGCCTCTTATTTTGAGTTATAGATACAAATGTAAGTAGGTTTGTTAGTTTTTAATGTGTTATAAATAAAATATTCATTACTACATCTTCATAAGTCAAAACAAAAAATTTATTATGTTAACTTTTATGTAAACAGATACTAACAGAACTCATATGGCCAATAACTGTCTATTTTGACTATAGGAAATATTTTATCAAATTTTGAATAATTTTTCAAATTTTCTAATAAATTTATTAGTTTATTTACAATTGTTATAGTTTGTTTGAGCTAGTAGTACTGAAGATTTACTTCAAGTTATTAAAAATTTAATTTTATAATTCACTCTATATAGTGCAGTTTTCCTTAAGTGGCCAATCACTGTATCTCTTACCCCTACGCGCAAAAACAATTATTTGTAAAACAATCTGTCGATATACCTATAACACCTCTGCAGACGTTACTACCGCATCTACATTGCTGTCCCTCCGACGGATTGAAGAGCGCGAAGTTGTAATCATACGTCAATTCCTCTCCCGGTTTAATATCCCTAGACGCGAATAACGCCATACGCGGTAATCCGAGAACGCTCCATTTTTGCATCTCGCAATTGGGTTCGCACGAATGATTCACGAATCTTCCATCACCGCCCATTCGATGACCGTCGATTACCAAACCACCGTCCAAATGTAAACAGTAGTGATGCGTATCGTTGGCGTATCTGGTGGCCATTCGCGACTTGAACTCTCTCTCCGATACAACTTCGCCCACATATTCGAGAATAAAATCTCCAGATTTGATGGCTTGTTGTGTTCTTACTCCCCATCCCTTGTCCTCCGTCATAAATCTCTGCAATCCCGGCGACCATTCGTGCCTCTGAATCTTCTGATTCTCGCACTTGTCACCGCACGGACATAGTTGGGGCGAACATTCGCTGAACACCATGCGGTTGATGCAGTCATCACCGCAACCGGCCTCCGGTTTGCACTCGCAGGCTTGCGCCTCGTAAAGAGTGGTCGGTTTGACGTCGTAATAAACGTTAGTCCGAATTTTTCTGCAAAAGCAAAAAAAATGTTATTGTAACGATGGATTACGTAACACGCTTTTGTGTAATTTGTAAAATATTTACCAATGTTATTCACAACAAGATCTGTGTTTAATATCATTTATTTAATTTGCAAGAGATTTACGATTGCTATACATGGAACGGAAAATAAATTAAAAATTTCTCGCTCACTTGTAGTTCCACGACGGCACCAGATCCCGACCGGATAGTCTCGACTGATCGTGCAGCCACAATAGATCGTACTGTAGTTGAAACGGTGTTTTTTTCTGTCGCAGAAGTTTCCCGGTAAGACCGGGCAATTGCTCCGTATAGTGCGTATCACAGACAAGAAGTTTTCTTTTGGCATCAGAATCGACGGTCTTCTTGGATTCGAGATCCTTCTTACATTCCGAGAACATATTGTTCGTCGTTTGCAAGTACCGCTTCTTCCACCTCGACTGTTTCTTCCGGTTGTGCGCTAAAACGGCCGGTTTCTTGTTGTTGACCTCTTGATCCTCGCTGGTTATGTCGCTGCTAGGTGGCGCTTCGCTCTCCGTGTCGTAGCCCGCGTTTCTCAGTCTCTTCACGTTTCTTCCGTGAAGGGACGTGTTGAAAGGACTGGTCGAACTTCGTCGTTTCTTGTGATTGTTATTGAAGCAACCGGACAATTCCATCTTGACGTTCGCCGCCGCTTGAGCGTTCGCGCGTTCCAATTTTCTCAAGTTTTCCTCGTTCAGCTCGGCGATACGTTGATTATGATTGTAACGTTCGAGGGACACCACCAGCGACGTGTTTTCATCGTAGACCCTGCAATCTGGTATTTTCTCGTATTTAACCGGACTCGAGTACAACTTTTCAGACAGTACGCTACTGTCCGACTCAACGAGATCCTTGCGAACGCGTAATTGACCCGGACAGGATTCCGTCACGTCGTCCGAGCCACTTCGACTGGACGTTTCTTGCACCGTACCGGAATTGTTCGCGTTCTTAGCGTCTGTTTTACAGTTTCCTCTGGTATTGTTATTTTCTATCAAAGTGTTCCGAGCGTCATTTGTCATCAAAGATGCTTTGCTGTCCTCGATATCGTCGGATATGTTTTGATCCTTGGTGGATCCAGATGTCAATGCCGCCGACTTGGCCACACCGGAAGAAGAGGAATCGACGATCTTCTTCTTCTTCTTCTTCAATGTGGGAAAACCCGTGCGATTGATAGTTTTCCGTCTTCGAACTTTCTTTTTCGTGAGAATTCCCGTAGCGGTGTCGCAATTGTTCATGATATTTGGCACACTCGAATTACCGATTTCGGCCGTCTTGCTCTCGACAACGGTCTCACAATCGTCGGATACGTCGGACACGTGCATCTCCGAGTCAACTTTTATGCTCTTTTCCGCACGAACGTGTTCGATATCTCCTTTATTGTCCGATTTGTCAACTTTGACCGATTTTTCCACCGTTGTCTTTTCCGATTTGCTCGATTTCTCCGCGGTGACTTTAGAACTCTTGTCCGTAGGCTTGTCCGATTTGTCGATACCACCGTGATTATCGGCCAGCAATTTCGTGATGGTAACACGAAGATCCTTGACGATCTTCTTCTTTCGGCGCGGTTGAACTTCCGCGTGGACAGTCGTCGATTTATCCTCATCGCTGCCTTGCTTCTCGGATAGCGAGTTCTCGGTATCCCTCGGTCTTTTCTTGGGTGTTACCGGCAGAGCTTCCTCCTCGTTGATGGATGAATTGGAACTGCCGCCGCCGTCGCCGCTACCGCCGCCGTATCTCGTAATGGTGGCCTCGATCGCCTCTTCTATGTGGCTCTCCGTAGAATTGGACTCGTTCACGTTTGCGTCCGTGCAGCTTGCGTTCGAGCTCTGTGAACTGTGCGGACTCGACACGTGATAGTGACGTTTCTTCAGTGGCAACCGCTGCTCGTTAGGATTCGAACTTGTGCTCGTATTCGCGCTACTCTTGGAGTCAGCGTTTGCCAATATCTTTTCTTTCTTCAAGCGTCGCTTCAGTTTCTGATCGTCGTTTGCTCCGGTATCGCCGCCGCCGCCGCCGCCGCCGCCTTTTCTCTTTTTCGTGAGCTTCTTCACGCGAAAGATCTGCGGCAGCTCGGACTGATTGACGCTTGCGTTGTTTCTACCCAAGCTGCACGACTTCGCGAACTCGTCGACCAACTTCTCCAGCTCCTGGAGAATGCACGGATCGATGCGAATGGGATTCTTCGGCGGGGCTAGCAGTCTTCGGCGATGCTTGTGATGATGGTGATGATGATGTTTGTGACAATGATTGTGCTGCGTCGACTCTTTCGTCTTGTCGTACTTGCCGGATGTGCGGCTCACATTCTCCGCTTTTAATATGTCGCTAACAGGCAAAGATATCAATGTCTGCACGCCCACGCCATTAGTCTCAAAGCCGGGTGTGATTTTTTTGTTACATTTGTTCTCCTTTAAAATCCGCCTGGTTGCCGAGGGTGCGGTTTTCTTTTGTTTCCTGGATACAACGGCCGCCGCATTATTTCTGTTCTCTTTCGAACCTGTTCTCTTACCGGCGCCACGTATCTTCTGATCGCTGGAAACCTGATGATCGCAGGACACCGCCTGCTTCTGTCGCGTCAACGGAACCGTGGTCTTGACTGTAGACACACAAGTTCTGTCTTGTCTCACTTTTCTACAGCTCCTGCCGTCGCATTGCGGAACAAGTTTGCTCGCCATTGATCTACTCAGGCACTTGACTCGCATCGGGGAACTCGCCGTTCCTATGGCCTTTTTGACTAACGTCTTGTCTTGCGGGGATTTCACCGGATTGCCGAAACGTTTCTTCTGATACGTCGTCGTTGGTTTACCTTTTACCTTTTTGTTCGCTGGAGGCGCGTCGTCCTTCTCTTCCTTCGACAAAACGGGCTTTGCATTGCTTCGTTTTCTGGGCGAAGACGCATCTTCCTTGACGCTCTTTGCGGACGATGATTCCTTCTCCTTTTTTTCGACCGGTTGATTGTCGGGAGTCTTTGGAGTTTTTGAAGACTTTTCTTTCTCAGCCTTTTCTATTTTTTGTATCTTCTCGACGATTTCCGGTTTTAAACGTGGCCTACCAGGTCCGCGCGGTTGCGTGGACACTGGTTTTGCCGGTCTGCCGGGTTTCCGTTTAGGAGGATACAAAACTCGATCAACATTTACCGCCGGTTTAGTGACGATTGACGGTTGAATTGCGGATTGGGTCGGTGCTGGAGGACTGACAGGACTAATCGCCAAATGTAACGGACTGTTATCCACTGATTGAATGCCGGAATCAGGCGACACATTCGACACGCACGTGTATTCGTTATCGTTATTCGCTTTCTTGCCGCATTTACTGCGCCTTTTTCGCGGTTCCGACAACATAGCGGTCTTCTCGACGAACTGTTGCAACAAAGTGGAACTGTATACGGGTACGGTGCCGGTCTCGCTCGTATCAGAGTCCGCACCGAGCGACATGCGCTCGATCGCCTTTGAAACCAACCGACCGCTCTCGGAATCTTCAAAACCGTCGAACGGTGGCTCTTCCTGCTCTTGCGGTGGCAAGATTGTCGCTAAATCGTCTTGATTAATTTCCTGTAGTGGCAAGTGATGATGTTGCGACTGTTGTTGCTGTGTCTGTTGTGACGTCACAGGACTCACAGACGAGTCCGAATCTTCGCTACTACATTCTGAGGACTAAAACAAAAATTAGTTACGTGTAATATAAATTTATTTGTTACGTACTAAATAGAGTAAACAGAGTATAAACAAAGTGATTACATATTCTTTATCATAATTGAATATATTTTCACATATTTTTTTTTTACTAACACAGATAAATTACCTTGTGTTCATGACTGGCCTTTTGGAGTTTCTTTCCAACATTTTTTCGGCTCTTTTCGCATTTAATCTTGTCCTCCTCCTTTTTAGGACCTTTCATGGTAATTTTTAATTTCAATGCTCCCTGCAAAACATGCAAAATCAAATTATTTTACCAAAATTGTCGCGAATCAACTCTCTTGATCATTTAAGTTTTTAGAAAAACAATGCGATTCAATATATACTTGTTCGAAGTTGGTTTCTTGAATAGAAAAAGTTTGTTCGCTATGTTCCGAAGAGCAGTCCGAATTAGATACGCTATCCTCTTCGTCACCACTACTTTCGTCGTCTGACTCTGAATTAGAATCTGAATATGAGCAACTGCCTTCGCTTCCACCAGAGCTTTCGTCGTCGGAATCAGAATCTTCTTCGGAATCAATCGAATCTGTCCCTGTAATTTCGAAGTTGCATGTAAAGGTTTAAATAAGAAGTTTTATATCACAAAATTTGCACATTTTTGGCACCGCCAAGATTTTTGATTACCATGAGGCTCAGTAGCAGGATCCCAACTACCACCACCCTTTATAGCATCCATGTCAACAGTCGAGGGAAGCTCTTTCTCTTGCTCCCCATCGTTTTCTTCCCAATTCCAGTTTTGCAGTTCTAAATCTGAGGGATGGTGAATAACGGCATTCCATCCTGAGTCACCAGACATTTTTCAGCTTATCTAACATCCAGCTGAATCCAATAGAATACCATTCCTTATACTTTTGTTCACTCATCAAGCTTCTTTACGATACCAAAAAGCACATCTCTTCGGGGCTTAGTTTATATATAATATTCATTTATATAAATAATAACTAATGTCATATTTTTTTTTTTTTTTTTTTTTTTTTTTTTTTTTTAATACAATATTGTTTCACACAGAAATTGAAGTCTGTAACTCTGGAAAGCAAAAACAAATAACATTAGTCAAAAAACATTGTGACGCAATATTTGTCTTAGATCTAAAAGATATATACTACAATGTATAAGTTTATCTTAAACTTGAAAGAGCAACTTAAATAATAGTAACTTAAACTTTTCCATTCTTTTTTTCACATACGATGTAAAACATTATTGAGACCTAAAACATACAAGCGATTTTTTTCACCGTGCGGTAAAATAATTGTGAAACAAATCATCAGAGCTACACAATTTATTTACACAGTTACGTTACACTTGGATAGGCATATTTTTACCGCAGCGTTTTTAAAATCTGTGCGTGATAAAACGCTCGTGAGTCAAAAGTTGAAAGGTTTACAACCCTTTTTATTGGCATAAGAAACGATGCCGCAAAAAAAAATTGCTTTGTCACGCTATATTTTAATTACTTCTTATTCGTTTTTTCTCCTTATGTAAAAAAATTTTGTTACATCAGTGTCAACGTTTCTTTTTTACTCTCCCAAGAAATCAAGATCACTTTCTAGAACGCAACAAGATGGTCCTGGATTCATCTCTCAAACCTAGACACTTGTCTCAATTCATCTCCAAGTTTAAGAGAATGCTGATGTTCAACACCCAACGAGCGATTGGGCCAGCTTAAATCTAACTTTTATATTTGTCAGAACAAAAAGTAAACACCGTGTCGAAATTATGTCAGATCTCAATGTATATCAAAAACTAAAAGTTTGCAGAATTTGCAGTTGGCTCTCAACCTCTCGTGTTGTTTCTTCACCGTGTGTGAAAAGTTTATGGAAAAGTAGAACAGTAAGCTTTTGCTTTTCAACTTCTCTCTCTCTCTCTCTCTCTCTTTCTTCTCTATTTATCGTACGTTAAATACACGCATATCTCACCAATGTTCACGAATACCTCAAATTGTACACAAATGCGCGAATTCCACAAATCGCGGAATAATTTCAGATGAGAAAAAAAAAAAAAAAAGAAAAACAAACAGCAGCTCAATCATCGAACTATCGACAAGCGGAAAAACGTCGTCAAATTATACTTGTCTTATTGATGACTCAATACTTTTCGATAACATCGTCTAACGTGTATCATGTGTAAACATCGGATAACACAACGCTCGCAGGAGAGAGATCTCGGAGCGCGACGATTACCTTCGCAAGTTTTAGCTGCGAAACATAAAATCTCGCTCGCTCGCTCGCTAATTCGAATTCGCTCGCAGATCTCCACGACTCCGAGGTTGAGCGGCGTTGTTCGGTCGCGAGAACGAGCGAGATGACGTCGCTCAGGCGATTGGCGACGCAACGCGCGACAGCTGTTTCTTCGTCTCGCGCGCTAGGTGTTATGCCGCCAGGTGTGCGTGATGCTCGAGACGGGGATTTGGCGCGAAACGTCGTCGCGTTAATCGGACATGAGGCGGTTGGCGCGCCGCGTTGATTGTCAGAATTGCGAGACCAACGTCGGGCCAGGTGCTGGGAGATCGGTTCGGCGGCGTGTCGACGAAATGATCCTTCCGTTCGCGGCTGAATCCCAATTGGAAAGTCCGATGTTTACGTCTCCGTCAGCGGGATCACAAAATGGCGTTTCACGGCGACGTTACCGTAACACTGTGCGGCAAAACTCGTACGTTTTTGACGCCGTGCGGGAAGAGTGCGCGTCGCACCGATCGACGAATTCCTCGGTTGGTGGTCACACGTCGTCGTCCGCTATTAAACGCGGATTGTGCGTTTTTCCGAGTATTATCGCGGTATCAGATATATAATTGCGCGTACCTCGTGCGAAATGCGAATTCGCGCATCGCATTTCGCGACAACACTACAATCAGCACCTTGCACACACACGCGACACTATCGTCGCGTCGCGGCGAGTGACGCAACTTGCGTGCGGGGAACCCGTCGGCGATTGCGTGTGTCATGAAAATTTAGGGATACGTCGTGCACGTATTTTTCACGTAACGCGTGCGTGTCGCGTGACGCATCTTTCTCTTTTATTCTCTCTCTCTCTCTCTGTCACTCGTTCGCATTGACATTCCAAACAGAAATACTAACAGCGTTTTCGACCGGTTTTTTCGCCGACCGGGTTGAATCGCTGCCGCGAGCGATGTCACTTTGACAAATCGACCAATCGCGTTGCTCGATTTACCCAAGTGACGTCATTAATAGCGACTCCGATAGCGACTCAACTTTTGTAACCGGTCGAAAACGGTATGTGACATTTGATTAATTTTTTTTTTTTCTGAACCAGTTTTGAACAAATTAATCGGGTTAAGAAACTCGCGAGGAAATCAACCAATAACATATCGGCATTCTTTTGAACGTGAATCCGAAGAAGCTAGTTTGTGATTGGTTGATTTGCTCGAGTCTTGCCTCTTAAGTTTGAAAGCAGTCGTCACATTTTCGTCTTCGAATCCGGATCCGCATCAGACTCGTTTTACGAATTATCACAGAGATTTGATTGAAAATTTGATCGAGGCAAATGTTTGTTGTTAAAAAAACAAAATCAATTTTTTTTCATTCTTGATTGATCAAACTCAAATTTCCGCAGTTGCGGTATGTGACGTTACGGGCGTTTACGGCCGATTTCTTTATACTTCTCGATAGCTAATCCTTTGGATAAATTTCTCTGAGAACCAATAAGGAGAACCAATTTTGGGAGATATCTTCTAGATAAAGTTATCGAAAATTTATCTAGAAGTGAAAAAATTGACTGTTTAAAAATTGACAGCCAATTTTTTCACTTGTAGATAAGTTTTCGATAACTTTGTCTAGAAGATATCTCCCAAAATTGGTTCTCCTTATTGGTTCTCAGAAGAATTTATCCAAAGGATTAGCTATCGAGAAGTATAAAGAAATCGGCCGTAAACGCCGATAACGTAATGTCATATACCAACTGCGGAAATTTGAATTTGATCAATCAAAAATGAAAAAAAATTGATTTTGTTTTTTTAACAACAAACATTTGCCTCGATCAAATTTTCAATAAAATCTCTGTGATAATTCGTAAAACGAATTTTTTAAACAGTCAATTTTTTCACTTCTAGATAAGTTTTCGATAATTTTATCTAGAAGATATCTCCCAAAATTGGTTCTCCTTATTGGTTCTCCTTATTGGTTCTCAGAGAAATTTATCCAGACGGATAGCTATCGAGAGGTATGAAGAAATCGGCCGTTTAGAGAAATACACATGTATATCGTGTTTTAAATGAACGAGTCCGACGAGGAGGAGGAGGTGCAAGTACGTGCGGATAGGTGTCGCTTAGATCGCGGCGACGCGCTCGCAAACGCGTGGGTCTTGCGTCTAGATTGCGCGTATGCCGCATGTGTTGCTCCGGAGTCACTGTCTCCGGCTGGTGGTAGGGGAGTAGGAATTCAGAATCGGCAATATGGCCGGTCAGATGTGCAGGGTGGCGCAGTGGTGTTAGTGGTGCTGCGCGCTGTGGATATTTCTCTACTTCTCGTTATTTATATATGTCGAACTACCGCAAGTCCTGTCCGAATCTCGTGTGTTTTCATGGGCTCGGTGATATACTGTGCAGGAGCAGGAACACGGATTGCATGAAGGCATAGCACACGCTCACCGGTCAAGCAAACATGAAGTGAGTAATACAACATCGAGAGAGAAAGAGAGATAGCATCCCCGTGAAGGGAGAAAAGAGAGAGAGAGAGAGAGTGTGTGCGTGTGTGCGTGTATTGAAAAACGAATCGAGCGAAAACCAAGCGCAGCTCAGAGCTTTCGAACCCAGCTTTTTCTGGGTTCTCATCTCTGTGTGTGTGTGTGTATTTTTTTTTTTTTTTTCACGACAGTTGTGCGACTCCGTCGCTTTTCTTCTGGCCGATCCGCGCCGTCGAGTTTTACGAGTCGCCGTAAAGAAACGTGAACGTTCACGACGCGCGCGACGGTTTAATAGCGGACGATTATTTCGTTATTACTCCCGTAATAATCGCCTCGGAACCCCCGACGGCTATCGCACGACGGCTCTCTCTCTTCTCACGGATTTGTCACATCCTCTCGCGCGGATGTTAAGCAGCAGCAGCAGCAGCAGCATGTTAAAGGATCGCGCAACGATATCGATCACGCGTCGAGGGCGGGCACGCGTTTTTCTTCAATTTGATCCCAGTTCTTTAAATCCCAGTTTGACTCCGGAAGAGACGTTACAGTCCTCGTCCCCCCCCCTCCCCGTGTCTATCTTGTCTCTACCTGCCTCCGGTGGCTTCGAAAACAAAAAACGATACAATTCAGCGATAACGCGAATTGCAGCGGACGACAATATAAGGACAAGCGTGTACACACGCACACACACACACGTACACGTACACGTAAGAAACACTCTCGTTTTATTCTACAAAAGACGACGCTATCTCTCTCTCTCTCTCTCTTTCGTTTGCTTTTCGACGAACGCTTCGCGAGAGAGAAATGTCGCCGACGTCCTGTCTTCTTTCGAAGGGCCGGGAAAAACACAAAAGAATCGCTCGTGGCCGACGAAGTCACAGGTCGGAGGAGGATGCGAGGAGTCACAACGACGATGCGATCATTGACGCAAACGTAAAGACCGTTTCGCACATTCGTTCACATACGTTTACGTCAATTCTTCCCCCGTGACTTACAAGTTTTGCGAACCTGGTTCCACGTACGGCTTTTACGTACGGTTTTTAAGGATTATATCTTTGTGTCTCCCGTGTGTAGCCCCCCAAGGCGGCGGAGTTTACGTTCGTTTGTTCGTAAGCGCACCTTCTTCCTGCCCTTCTTTTGTCTCACATGTCGCGTACGTGAGTTGCATTTTGCATACACACAAACACACACACACACACATTTTGTCTTCCTCTCTCGTTCTCTTTCTCTTCGTCCCGGATTTTTCAATCTTGAGGCGTTTGTCTTGAAGACACCGCCGTGTCTCTCTTGTTTTTATAATCCGTCGGTCTCAATTTCGCAAGAAATATAACACAGACGTTCGCGCGTGATGATGTTTGTTTTTTTTTTTTTTTTTACACTAGTTCTTCAAAATGTTGGAGTTTCGTTGGCGTTCGACAGCGAAAAAGGTTTATTATCGCGGCGGCGACGTTTGCCTCTTTTTAAAGAGGCTTTGAATTATTATTTTCTCATCGCAAATTTCTTTTTTAGAGAAAAGTTCAAACTTTATTTCGCGCGAAAGAGATTTCAACGAGATCGATATATGTTCTCTTGCGTGTGTAAACAGCAAAGCGAGTATTTACACGATGTTTGAAAAATTACACGATGATGAATAAACCACGATGAAAAAGATACTTTCTCAACGTGTTCGTTTCAAGTTTTGCTTTTGCTCGTTCATGACGCGTAATGCAAAAGCCCGGCGAAGATTGCAAAACTGCGTGAGATTGAAGATCCGCGGTGATTTGCACGCGTGACTTGAGACACGCAGTTTCGGGGGAAGTCTCTTCGGGGAAAATCACATTTTTATTTCTTTATAATCTCGTAAAAACACATGTCATTCAATAATGTTGAATAAAATTGCACGAGTGAGTAAGGAAAGGAATGTAATAATCGAAAAAGGAAATGCCGTATCTAATCGCAATTTTTTAGTATTAGAAAAACACAATTTACGTTTAGCGTCGGAATATTATACGCAAAAATTTTTATGTTTCGTTGTTTCAAACAAAAAAAATCCCGTTGTTGTTTCGTTATTACACACACACACACTCGGAATATCTGAATACATTGGGTGTCAAGTGTAATAATTTTTTCTATCGACAGGAAATTTATAAACAAGTTACTCATCGGATATTGTACGATACTACCTGAGTGAGTCACGAGGAATCGGGAACGAGAGATAAGAGAGTTATCGATAGAATTCCTAGTGAAACTGCACGGATGACTTCACCCCGTTAATCCGATAATATGTGCTTTTACACGTCATAGAGATCGAGAGACGCGGGGGTAGCGTCTCGACGCCAAGTGGGTACTACGTGAAAGCAACGATCCGTCGAATGAGAGCCACTGCATGACGGCGCGAGGCGCTACCGAGTACTTAGTTATACCCTTACCTCCGTGTTTTTGCTCGACGAAACTCCGACTTAAAATATATTTTAGAGAACCGAAGCGGTAATGTGAAAAATCCTAACCCTGGACTTTTCTTATTCATTGCGAAGCACAAGCTTTCGGTTGCGAACAGTGCGAATTTATTGAAGAAAGAAGGAAAGAGAAGAGAGAGAGAAAAGAGAAAGATTTATTCGCTAAAAATAGTTTTGATATGAAAATACATTTATATGTGCGCATTATTAGTTCGCATGTTTTACAACACACGTGAAAAGGTTTTGTTTGACCTTAATATCGCTCGAATCAGCCAGCTGATTGCGTTATCTTGGGTTTTCACACATGTTTGTAAATACACAGAAACATTAGTTCTTCCGTAATAGGATTTTAAATAAAATCCACTTAGTTCTTTTGTAACAGATCTTTAATAGGTTTTTATCAAGTTGGTAATAGGTTTTGGTGGAAGTTTTAGGTCGCGTTATTTACTAAAATAACTTTTTTATTTTGTATAGAAATGTGCGCGCGTGACCCGCATTTTGTTCTCGCAAAATTTGTCTTCAACTTTGCACGTTGGAATATTATTATTTGTTTTGTATCACTACGTTGTATCTCGACGTTGACGACAATTGATCGATGTTAAAATCCAAAAAAGAAAACCTTCGTCGAAAATTTATCATCAGCAAGATATCATTTTACAGATTGAAGAAAAGTTTCGCAAATACGGGAAGTTACGCAAATTTTTTGCGTTTCATATCGCGGCGCTAACGCAACAACGAGTCAGCGCTTCTGACGATTGAGAACTCTGATTTTGTCACGCAAAACCTCACGCCGCGAACAAAAGACTCTTGCAAAAAAAATAAAAAAAAATAAAACGCGCGACCACACTTTATCTCCCGGTGTGTAATTACACGCACAAAATTGTCTAAATCGCGATATATATCCGTTGCCAAAATGAGTTACCGTCGCGTGGAAAAAATTTGATTTGACAAAGAATACATATACGAAGAATAACAATCGAATTCGAAGTGTCAAAAGAATCAACGTTGCTGCATCCGATGCTGTTTTCTGATCCGGGGATTGAGGTGAAAATCCCGTGATTTCAGGACTTTATTTTGTATATGTACGTGGTCACACCGGTTATCGAGCGTGTTGAGGCAAGGCGCGGCGAAGGCCGCGAGTGACTTCCGCTCAATTCCGCGTCATTCCACCTTGCCCTTCAACACGGAGGTTTAGTTCGGACGGCCATATCTTCTCCTTGTTCTCTTGCGTACATACACACACACACACACACACACACGAACGCACCGTGCGATTAAAAGGACGATTGTAGATTTGTAGGGCCGAAAACAACTGCTTTTCTCTGAAAATTCTTCAAGAAAAAAACTTACCGCGAACAAAAAGAAAAGATTGATTTTCTTCATTGCGCACACATGTGCAACACGCTTGTAAGTTAATGCACTCTTGACTACGTTAAAACACGCGGATTTGTCATAAATAACAACTGTCGCGGACTATATATTTGTCAAAACGCGCGCGGATTCGCAGTTTCTATTAAAAACTTACAAAATTTAATTTAAATTAATAATTTCTAGAAAATTTTCAACAGTATTTACAAATATAAAATTTTTATCGTTTTAATCTATAATTTATATAACAATGTGTATTTTTAATATATTTTTTTTTTTTAATACAGGGTTTTAATGCTTAATCGCGACTGTAAATCGCGATTGCGTGTCTAAAAAAAAGTTTATCGCGATATCCGTTTTGTTTCTTTATTGTGTGTTACCTCCCTTCTTTCTTTCGAGATGATATATATGTTGCAACGCAAACGTTCTCGGAACAACCGGATGAATATTACGGCCTAGCGGGCGTGTGTTGCGCGCGTTGTTATCAATCCGCTTTGCTCCGCCTGACCTGTGTGTGTGTATGTTAACGCTCGCAGTAGCGAAGCGAGATTCTAATATTTGTAATTGTTTAATAACGCGCGCGTTACAACACGATTTTGATCCTCGCGCGAACAACAAACAAAAATGCGTCGCAACGCAGCGCGATAACAAATTTTTAATATCGTTATTTAACTTTCGCCCGGCGGATACCGTGAGTTCATTCGAACCCGACGCACGTCGGCTCCTAAGTCACAATCGTTCAAAGTATATAAACATTGGCGTATTCCCTCACACTTTCTACCGCTCACGCCCGTCACGAATCACGAAACGGACGAATGTCTTTTTTAGTCTTTGGAGGACGACCGGCAGTTTTTCCTTTAGAATTTTGAATTTGTTTAACATAAAATTTATGCGTGCAGAACCTACATATATGTTGCGCCAAGTTCCCGATTTTTGTTGCTTTGATCGCTTTAGTGGCCGCAAGAGCGGCTCTCTAAAGATTTAAAAGCAACATTTCGCTACACGGATTTATGCGAACACCCAGCATTCGCCCTGCACGCGCGTTGTTAAGATCATCCGCCGTTCGAAGGTTAAGTTACAGACTAAGAAGAACACAGTCGAGAAAGTGAGGGAGATATATCTCACGTCACGTGCTAACCTCGTCCTGTTCCTGTTTCGCCAACACGCGAGGGGGAGCGCGGACTGCGCCCCGGTGAAAGCGAAAGCCAAATGAGCATGCGAGAGCTCTTCCGCGATTGTGCGGACACTCGCGGATATCATTTCGGAATTACTTTTTATACACTTGTTCACGGAGTGAGTTCACCTTTCTCCGTTTCCGTTTCGTTTGACCGGTGGTTTAAATCCCAGATCTCTCGAGAGATCTGATTTTTAAATATCCGAGACGGAAATTTACAAATCAGTGATCTCGAGTTACATGTAAAATATATCGAGTTACAAATTGAATTGATTCTCGAGCACATCTAAATATACTCAAATAACAATAAATAAAATATAAGTATATTAAAAAAAATGAAATAAAATAAGTATATTTAAAAAAATACTTAGTACGTTATATTTGTGTACGCGGAACGACACTTTTTGGATCATTCTTTAATAGATCACGGGTCAGAAGTGTCTTCTCAGCCCCTTGCACAATGGAAGGAATAGCGATAGCGATAGAAATAACACAGTTTTTAACACAGAATTCCAACTCGTCGGAAATTTTATCGCTATTGCTTATTCCGATTTTCTCATCTGCATTGATACATGTGTAGTTTTGTATGTTAGATTCCGCTGTTCCTACCTTTATTTTTAAATATAAACTCTTTAAAACTGATGTTATTTCTATCGCTATCGCTATTTCGTCCATTGTGCAAGAGGCTTTCTTCTCAAAGTATGTGTTTTTTTTCTTTGGGAAAGAAATGTAATAACCAGCGATCTTTGATGATATTGGCGACGCGAATCGACAATTGCTCAACGAGAACAAATTATCTTGGCTATCATGTGGGATTCCATCGCACACACACACACACACGATGTAATTTTCCAAATGTTCACCGAAAAAATTGTATTCTTGTTTTGAGGATATCCCACTTACTTTAAGTATATTTTATACTAAAATAGGCGCCAAGAAGAGTTTCTTATTTTAAGAGAAAAATCCTCTAAATAGTAACATTGATAAGAATATATACTGATTAGAATATAAACAGCCTCTATAGAAAAACATATATATATCTCACTATCGAAAAAGACTATATTCTTAAATAAAGAATATATTCTTAATTTCAGAAGAATATCATCTAAAATCTTTAAGAAGATTTTTTAAGTATAAAATCTTCTACTTACAAGAATATAATTTTTTCGGTGTTGGCTCGACGAGATACGATCTTGTCGCGAGACCTTATCGTATCGGAAGATTATTTATTATACACACGCAATCGGGAAACATTTGTCTGAACTTTGATCTACGATCTATTTTTTATTCTTACAGACCAAAAATTAAATCAAGTTGTGTAAAATGTTGAATAAAACCGTCTAATCTTAGCATCTCTTTTTGAGAAAGAATTTCTCTTTCGATACGTATGTATTAGGTCTACCGGAAAGTTCTGTCCGTTTTTGTAATAAAACAAAATACAAATTTTTCTTAATTTTTTAAAAATCGGATATACAAATTGTCCTCACGCTGGCAAGAAATCATTAATATAATAATGGAAATTATATTATTTAATAAAGTTTATTGACGGTAAGAAAAATTTGTATTTTGTTTTATTCCAAAAACGGACAGAATTTTCCGGTAGACCTAATATATAATGCGACACAACGAAATCGAGAAAAAATATCGAGCAATCGACGAACGAGCGCGCGTAGGAGAAGTCGAACAATTGGACTGGCAAGCAAAAAATTTCGGTGTGTTTTGTGTGTTCGCAGCGAAGTGAGCATATCATCCGCTCGTGCGTCGGTGATGGTGTACGACGACGTGAACAAAAAATGGATACCAAGCGGTAGCTCGTCCGGCCTATCCAAGGTTCAGCTCTACCATCATCAGGTGAACAACACGTTCCGTGTAGTCGGGAGAAAACTGCAGGATCACGAGATCGTTATTAACTGCGCGATACTCAGAGGGCTCAAGTACAATCAGGCGACGGGAACGTTTCACCAATGGCGGGATAACAAACAGGTGTACGGACTCAATTTCTCCAGTAAGGACGACGCCGACGCCTTCGCCAAGGCGATGTTTCAGGCCCTTGATGTAATTTACATTCTTTTCTTTTACATTACGTACAATTGTCTTGTTATTGAAATTAACTTTCGATTAGAAGAAAAAAAAATAATGAAACATTACGTTTTCATTGGAATATTGACTTTAAGTTGTATCTGTTGGATACTGTCGTAATTGGCGATTTTTTATCCTTAATTAACTTGTAATTGTACATCTTTCTTGCGTAGGTGCTAAGCAACGGTGGCAACATATCAAGGAGTCTCGCTCCGACAACCACCACAGTTACTCAACAACAGACCGCCTATCAACAACAGCAGCAGCAGCAGCAGCAGCAGCAGCAGAGCCAACCAGTCGCTCAGCACGAAGAAGATATGGGATACAGGTATACTTTTCCGTGTTTATTTGTTTTTCTCCTATTTTTCAAACATATTGCAGCACACAACTGTTGTGACGAATATTTTTTATCACGACATGTAGCGTTTTTACATATAATGTTGTTTATTCGCGCAACATCGTCAAATAAAGACGCAATTTATTTATTTATTTTTTTTTTTTAATCTAAAGTTTTTACTAATACTATATAACAAATTGCCATGTGTTAGCACGCCAGGCGATTTGCTATTCGCGATTCCGCGATCGTTATAGGAGACAGAAAAAGCACAGAAAAAGTCATAGAACTTAATTCATTGCAACGTAAAACTGTCTAAACTTCCCTATCGTTAATCTAAAAGCGAAAGTCACACATCTGTCCCGACTGGTTGCAGTCAAAGTCATAACACGCGGATCTCCTTGTCCCTGGGCCATCTGCCTACAGGGAGTCAGACAACTCCCGATCACCATGCGACCATTAGTGGTGCCGTCGGCACCGTTATTGAAGTGGGTTGTTCGCATGGCTCACCAGGCAGTGGACACACGAGGTGATCTTTCGCCCTCTTAACCCCTAATAAACACAATTTTTTCATAAATTATAGCAATAAGAGCATTTTTTTAATGCAACTTTTAACTTCAGTACACTTCACGCGCAGAAAAATATCCATCAAGAAGCAGTGCTTTTAATTGTATTAAATATTTTCCGTTTTCACGAAAATGTATTGCACATGTGTTTAAAATTTCAATCAATTCAATAACATTATTATTTTTGTTAGATTGTTATGTTATTAGATTATTACCGATTATAAAGATCTCTCTAGGATTTCTGATTGAAGAATATAGGCATTTTAGAATGACCGTTTCGCTCCTGTTTCTCTCTCTTCTTTTCTTTCATCTCCTTTTGAATAGTCCTCCTTTCCGAGATATAAATTAAAATTAAATTGAAAAACAACAAAGATAGACGGTTCACTAGCGCTTGTCAACCTGGATGTCTATTAATCGGCTTCCGTAAAATTGCCAACTTGTATGACTGATTTTTGTTTTGCAATTAGTGAAGATTAAAAAACTAGGTTTTTAAAAAGGATCGTTCTGTTTTTTGTCGTAGTATACAGTGAAATAGAAAAAACTGTTATAGCATAAGAAAGGAGAGTATTACATACTGTACATCTTGATTAAATTTATCGTTAATAATTAAACTCTTTTTATTAATCATTTATAAAATTGTTGTGTGTATATTTTGAAATATTCATCAAAGTAGTCACAGAATATTTTAATTTGCAACATGTATTACAATTAGGGAATTATGCTTTATGATCGATTGTGTCTAGTATGATAGTCTAGATGGCTGATTTTATTACGCCTGTTTTAATAATGCATTCTGGATTGACGAAATATATCATTCTACTAACTATCGCTTGTTTATTTCTGTTTAGAACCATGACCAGAGAAGATGTAGCAATAATTCAAGAGCGCAGAATGTCTCAACAAAGCCAAGGTATTACCTACTATTAATTAAGATATTATATTTTTTTTCTAGTATAGTATATATACACATGCGAAGTAAATATCACATATGTTACAGCAACTAGCAGTCCCAATCCTATATCACCAAGTTGCCCGCCAGTTGTGCAGCAGCAGCAGCAGCAACAACAACAGCAGCAGCAGCAACAACAGCAGCAGCAACAACAACAACAATCCGGTCATCATCGAACTTCATCGGCACCACCGGCACCTCAGCCGCCACAACAGCAGCAACCGGCGCTACAGAATATACAAGCCGGTATCCCGGCTGCTCCGCAAATATCGGCTGTATTAGCAATTGGTCCTCCGGTACCACCTCCCCAACCGCCAATCGCACCTCCTGCTCCTCCATGTCCGCCGGCGATGATAAACTTTAATTCGCCCGCGGCGCCACCGATGATGATGAACCAATACGCGCAATCACCGTCATCTCAAACGAATCTTGCGAATCAGCAGTCTCAATGTCAACCTATTTACGTAACCAATCAGGCGAATCAGTACGGTGCTGCACCTGCGAACGCTCAATACGCGGCCACCACGGTTACTAGTAACAGTAGTAGCGCTGGAAACAATGCGAACGCTGTTGTAGGTCAGAGTCCGAGCCAGTATCCGCCGTCCGGCGCTCAAAACACTTTCTACGGTACTAATAATCAGACGAACAGTTACGCTACTGGCGGACAGGTTAACACAGGCCAATACAGCCAACCGACTGCTAATCAGGCGCAATATAGTAGCAGCGCTGGTAGTCAATATGGAAGTAGTAACTCGATAAATCAATACGCCGCCGGTCCGCCGCCATCCGGTCCGACGAGTCAGTACGCTGTCGCGCAGACCGTTGTCGGTCAATCGCAATACGGAACTAATATTGTGTCTCAGCAACAAGCACAGTACAGCGGTACCAGTCAGGTGCCAGTCCCTGCTACAGGCACCACAAATCCGTATGGAACACCGTCAAACTCAGTGAATCAGTATGCTGCCGGCGGACACCACCCGGTTAGTGCTAATCCTTACGCTTCCATTCCTAGTAGCGGACCGCCGCCACCCCCGATGGTACCGCTAACCGGACCCGCTGCACCGCCACCGCCACCACCACCACCAGTACCTAACGCTAACAATCCTACCGCTTCTGGTAGCTCTAGCAGTTCTCTGAACGATCCTGTTCCTGACGCCAATTCGTTAGCGGCCGCTCTACAAGCTCGTCTAAAAAAGAAACAGGTAATTTTCTTTAATTTCTCTTCGCATTAATACAGTTGCTATTTCCACGCACTGCGCGAAACGGAATTACGTTACACGTTAACATATCTTGAATATATGATGAAGATACGCACGCACACGTGCAATAAACACGCTTCTTCTATCAACAGCAACAATCGCAACTAACGGAGAATAGCGGCTCGAGCACTAGCAGTAGCGGTAGCGGAAGCGGCGGTGGGAGCGGCAATTATGGCACTTTAGGAAGAGGCGGAGGTGGTGGAATGGCTTCCATGATGGATGAAATGGCTAAGACTCTGGCACGCCGACGGGCTGCTGCTGAAAAGAAGCAACCTGAACAGGTGGTACGTAAGATCATTGATCGCGCGCTATTGGGATCGTTTTGTTAAAACTTGAAAGAAAGAGAGTCGCGCGTGCGCGTGTGCTGATCCAACAATTTTTTTTTTTTTTTGCAGGAACCGGAAAGCTCGCCAGATAAAAAGTCCTGGGATAAAAACAATACGTCAAATAATAAATTTTCCAATGGTGCCGAGTCACCGAAATCAGTACGTAAGAGATTCGGCTCGGCTTCGGAAGATACTCTGCTCAAGGTAAACGGAGTCAACGACGGAGTCTCGCTCACTGCACAAGAAATGGAGGCCTTCAAAGCGGAAATAATTAAAGAAATGCGCAAAGAATTCCAGAAGATGAAGCAGGAAATAATCGACGGTACGATTATATTATCGATATATAGATATTGCAGCTTTATTAATTTTTGTTTTTTACGAGCAGGTGAAAGAAGCAGTTTTGAACTCATGCAATACATCTTTTTTTTCAGCTGTAAGAACAGAACTCAACAAGAGATAAAGAAAACGTTAAAGAACACGTAAAAAAAAAAAAAAAACGACAAAAGCTCTTGAAACCGAAAAAAAACTAAAGTAATGATACAGAAGAAGACAAGAAAAAAAAAATAGGAAAACGTTAGAGGTTTGTGACTGAGATATCGGAACGATATATCATCGAAACCCGCACACAGGTTTCTGAAACATATTCGCGAGAATGTAGTAACGATTACATTCGTATATATATTGGACGTACTTGTATGTAAGTTATTTTGACATTTTTAAATGACCAAAAACCTCTTTTCTCGTTGTTTGCTATGAAATGTCGTAACAAAAAACGTTGAATCAGTTGAGTTTTGATTGATTCGATTGATTAACGAAATATCTCGATAAATCTTCGCGCACGCACAAGGGATCACGGAAAAATTCTCTCACAAAATGAGAAGAACATTTCAATGAAAAAAATAAAAAAATAAAAAAAAAAATAAAAAAAAATAAAAAAATAAAAATGTACACGCACAATAGGAGATAGTATTATATTGCTTGGTAGATTAAAGGGGATTATTGATATAAAGACCAAAAATCTGTGAGAGTGTACTATTTATAATATTATAAATAATATACATATACTCTGGATCTTTATATATACATAAATAAATATTCGCAGCAATATCTATCTATCACAAAGCGCTCAGTTAGAGTCTCCTTTCGAGAGAGACGTATTACAATTGATAAGATCGTTATGAAAGTTATTTCTACCGTGTTTTAGCGTGATAATTTATTCATTTGATTCGGTGAGAAACTCAATTATTTCAACGTTTAAGTTGCGCAATTGTATCTTTTTTTTTTTTTTACTTGCATACGATCAGAAACGATTTCTATAACACTTCTTCTCTTGCATATATATATATATATATATGTGTATATATATGACCGAGAAATAACCGTTTCTTTTTATATATATATAAAAAAAAATAAATAACCGATTTCACACATCATGTAAAACATTCAGTGCAGAAGTTTACTTTTGTCAATGTCGTGGCATGTGTTTCCCTCGCACTTTTATATCTTTTGTGTTTCACTTTGTTGGCACGATATCAAAACTACAGCCGTCGCTGTTTTTGATGAATTTAACGCGTATTTTGTATATTTAAGTTTTCTTTTTCTTGCGAACATCACACAAATTGATCTCTGTATGAAAATATAAGGCATATACATTCCAAGATATAAATCCTTCCTCGATACTGCGTTCATCTCCTAGAGATGTTGGAGACACTGTTGTAAATAGCAATAAAGTGGAAAAAAAAAAAAATAAAATAAACGACGATAGACGGATGCCACGATCGTTGATTGTGAAATTTTCAAAATACGTATATCGCGCTTAAAAATAATAATAGTTAAGAAATCTCCATGTTGATCCATTCCCGAGTATTTGAATTGCGACTCGACGCACGTCTAAACACGATGATCCGTTCTTTGCGAAGAGTGCTGTCCGCATGCATGAGAGCGTGCTGTTTGTTTAAACGAAATATTTCCATACGAGCAAGGACTTTGAGCTTTCTGTCATGCGACTCTTTCATTTAAACAAAGATTTTTGCTCGCGCGCACAAATAGGCTAACGAACATCCGCCGATGATGCTGCAATTCTAGACAATATCAAGACAAGACTCCTAAATAACAATAACTCGTAAAAAAAACTTTTTTTTTCATAAAAAACTTGATACTTAAATGAAAAATCATTGTGAAGTTTGTTACTCATCGTAATCGTGGATATGTAAAACAAAGAACGGCAGAATAGCAATTTATGTAAAAAAAAAAAAAAAAACTACTCACGATCGCCTTCGTGAGCAACGAACGTGACGATCTCACGATTTGTTCGTACATTTGCTTAGACTTGCAGCATTTATTCTGCTTTCGCGCACACATCTCGGAATTTTTATTTATTTTACTTTATTCTCGACACATGTTACTGCGATCGAACAAATATTTATGCCAAGAACCGCCGTAGCTTTTAATCGACTCGTCAATTCGAATGCGATACACTGTAATAATGCTTGATTCATTACGACGGTCACAAACGCCTAGTATTATAAAATGTTTAAACGTTGTGTATGTGTGTGTGTGTGAGAGAGAGAAAGAGAGGAAGACGAAGAGAGAGAGAGAGAGAGAAACGCATATGCGTATATTGTGCATTGCGCTAAAGAGATTCGCGAACTACGTGATGCGAAGCCGGGAGAAAAGCTTCCTCTTCTCCATGCGCCGTTCCCCTCCAGCCGTCAAGCAGCCGGTCAAGCGCCTTACGGTACGACGGAAGGGAAAGCTTCTTTTCTGGAGATGCCTGCTGGTCTATTCTGTAACTTTTGCAACGCACGTCTGTAACGCAAAAAAAAAAAAATAATCACGTAACTTGCACTCAAAACGACGCGCACGGTCAAGAAATTGAGCAAAAGCATTTTTTATACATGACAAGTTACCGAAGAAGAAACAATAATAAGTTTCCGTGAACGCAATTTTATATTCGCTCTCGTCGCGTTATCTCGTCGTGCAAAAGACTGGTTTATATGTGAATATACAACACATATCTGTTTTTTAAATCTAAAATCAGTTGAATTGTTGCGCGCGTGACTAATATTCAACAAAATGTATGTGCTAACAAGAATGGATGTAAGTGCGAATAAGCGCGTGAGGGAAATTCCTACGAGCTGAGCACTTTTTTATTTTATATATACGAAATTGACTTTATATACAAAGTTTTGATTGGAAGAGCACTGAAAAAAAAAAAGTCTTAATAATATTTACCAAATGCATTTGGTTTGAGCGTGCGCTATTTGATGATTAGCATCAAATATGATAATAGTTACCTTATTCTTTGATGATAATGCAAAACAATTTTTTTCATCATTAAATTGTACCAGCTAAATTCATTGGTAATCAGTATAATTTGGTGATAAGTGAACCAAAAATCGTTTGGCTATTATGTGTACCACCGTAAATCGGTAAATAGTCGCCAAAAACCTCGGCAACAAATATCAAGCGTCGCTGAAGGTTATTTGTTACTACTTATCACGTTATTTTGTCATTTACTTTGATTGCAACTTCGTCAAAAAAATTTGGTAACTATTGGGCTTGATGATCAAATCTTTTTTTTTTTTTTAGTGAATTGTCTCACGTGATTTTCTTCTAAGGCTGAATATTTTAACACCATTTTTTACAATGCGATATTTTGCCGCACATTCTTACACGTGCACATCGACGTGCTTGTTTATAATAAGTATATAATTATAAGGATTCTTGAATATAATTTGTATCGAGGGAAGTTCAGAGTTAGATAAGAGACAGAGTTTCTAGTCGAGTCACGTGTCTAAAAAAAGTGAGAGATAGTTTTTTGAAAAGAAAAGATTAGTGCGCAAATTGTAACAAGCAAGCGTCAGTAAAGCTTATTTCTGATTCATTTTTTTATTGATAAATTTTTATCTTATCTTTCTTTTTTTTTTTTTAGTTTTACTTCTCTCTATCTAAATATCGGCTAATTTTACATACGCAATAAAATATTTATTTATTTATTAGCGAGATACAGTTCGGTTCGTGCAGCGCATCATCGATTCATTAAATACTGAAATAACATCACATGCGGATAGTTCTGCCAGCAATCAAGAAACACGCGCGAGAGAGCAATTATCTGTTTGTTTACTTGTTCTTTTTCTTCTTCTTTATACTTTCTTTGGGATCATTCCTCTTTCTCATTTTTTTTTTTTTTTTTTTTACACATGTACATTTTCTGTGCTTTAGTTCTCTGTAGTCTTTGTATATATATAATTATTATCTGTGTTACTATGATATATTTATTCTTTTATTTTATCCGTGTTTCTTTCCTTTATTTTCTCTTTTAACGAAACATATTGCAGCGAAAGAGAGAGAGAGAGAGAGAGAGAGAGAGAGAGAGAGAAAGAGAGAGAGAGAGTGATTTTTTTTTGTGTGTGTCGCAGTTACATGGAAATATTGTGAGACACAAAGAGCAATTTCCTTAGCGGCAAGAGCTTCGTCTTCATCTCGCCCTGCGTTTCATTTTTCTACTATCAGTTTGCTTGTTTCTTTTTTAAACATATACAGGATATTTTGATATAACTAACACTTTAGTATAATAAGTAATGGTGTAGATTGTATAGAGAATCTTTGGCGAGAAATGATTTCTTCTTCAGAGATACTTTTTTTACGGAATGTCATTGTCACTTTTTATGATAAAATTCATTTTTGATACATTTGGAATGAGAAAGAAAAGAGAAAAAATATGAGTGCGTGTGTGTATGTATGTGTGTGAAAATGAGAGAGAGAGAGAGAGAGAGACTATTCCGTTGTTCCGTTATTACCTGCACTATTCCAATCTACAGAGAGAGATTTTTAACCATCGTAATAACGGAACATGTCTTTTTTTTACGTTATTACATTAAATAAAAATTAAATTATATAAGAAAGCAATTTAAAAAAAAAAAAAAAACAAATTATATATTGTATTTATATTGTATTTATTTGTGTGTGTGCTTCTCTAAAGCTTGATTTTCAACAAAACATCTCTACTTTTAATCATACAAATATGATATATATCGCAATATTTTTAAGTGACAACAGGATCATTTTTCTGCACTGTGGTCGTAGAATTTGTCACTAAAATTGAGCGCGCAGTTGTCGCGTGAATATTTGCGATACGCACACATAATTGCGCGTTAAAGTAATATTTGCTTCTGTTTCCTCATTAGAATTTTTTTTACATTCGATTGTCTATCGCGCTCGTTAATGGATTGCATTTTTATCGCCTCATTACGTTTCCACTTACTTACGTTTGCGACTACGCGCCATCGCATACGCGATACGCGTATTAGTCGCTTATACATCTTGCACATAGATATAGTATTCTATTGAGAATATCTTACAAAACAAAACACTATAATTTTCATATCGTAGTTCTATACAATGCGAGTATTAAGAGTAATTTGTGTTAAGAGTTAAAAAGTTAAGAAGAGAGGATAGAGAGAGAGAGAGAGAGAGAGAGAGCGATCGAGATCCGAAAAGGCTAATAGCGATAAAGAATTATTGCGAACGAATTGTAACTAATAAGCACTGTGTATTATGAAATCGCTATGTTAATGATCGAATATATAAGCGACTCTGAATTTAAAAACAAGTAAAACCAGCGGCAGAGATTTTCAATTAATTTTTTCGATGTGTTTCATTTATTTCTCCCAAAACAAATTTTCGTTAGAAAATGCTTCTAGATCTCGTCTTCGTTTTCATTTTGGTTTTTTTTTTTTTTTTTTTTCGAGTGATTTCGCTGTACATGTGAATAAATATTGTTTATATCATATATTATTTTTCAACCAATAAAAAAAAACGCACAGACACTAGAAAACACCTATATTAGATATAAATAATATTGAACACCATTTTTTTTTACATTGACGTGCAAATAATTATTCTATTATATTAGTAATTAATATATTTTATAATATTAGCGTTAATTAAAATTTTACAATATATGTACGTATGTATAATTAGCGCGTGACAATGTAATCTTGCAAAAATGTGTATTCTAATTTTTTTTAATTATAAGTATATCGTCGTTTATATATTGATTATTGATATTGTCGTGTCGCGTTTGACTTCGGGTGGTGTTATAACGGTTCGTGTTGTTTATAGGCTATACTTTATAGGCATGCATGGATTGATGATTGCGTATATGGGAAAAAAAATTTATATATGTAAAGCATTAATTGATCAAGCTTTGCGCTACAAGAAGCGTGCATTGTGAAGAGTTCGATTTTCGTGGTATCCTTTAGTTTGAAAAATCACACAGCTTTGTCCTGCCTTCGAAATAAGCGATATATACATATATATATATATTATACATAATACAGAAGAAATCTTTCGTAACGTGTAATAAGAAACTACGGGAATTGTGGGACGGAGCAATTGACGTACGTACGGTTTTCCGGTTTATAACGATTAAATGCATTTCTCTCGGATGCAATTTCCGGATTGCGCCAATGACTGGAAATAAAATTCATGCGAACAAAAAAAACGATCTTATACATATATATATATATATACTCGTGTAAAGTAAACCTACGTCTCTATAACTATACCGAGTGCGTAAAGCGTAATCAATGGAAGAAATGGATTTCAGATTGTTTAAACGTTCAAATTGATGGGGACGACATGTAAGAAACGTGATCGATGCACGTATCGATCGAGTATTCGATGTTCGATGATGACGATCATCAGATTTATGATCTCCGCGTTTATATTCTCTCGAAAGCAGAAGAAAACAATCTACATATGCTACACAAGAGATATAGAATATATAGATTTCGACAACGTTTCGAAAACGCAAACGAAGCTAAAAATGGAAACAATCGCTGTCGGAAGAGAGACGTGTGCGAGGATGCATCATGCGAACTTGTTACACAAGTCGCCGTTGTTGGCGTGCCGAATTTTACCTCGAATTGTGATATGCTGTGCTGAATATAATCGCGCGCGCGAAATCTCGGACAGCGTCCGTCAACAGCCATCGACTGCCAAACTCGAGATTTTTCTCATAAGTTCCTCGCAGCGTGTGTTGAGAATTTCAAGTTTACGGACGAGAAAGCAGCTCGTCGAGATATGTAAACGCGTCTTTCGCTACGAGTTGTTTTTCTTTCTTTTGACATAATGTGGAGAGAGAGAGAGAGAGAGAGAGAGAGAGAGAGAGAGAGAGAGTGCGATTTATATTTAATAATCATTGTTGACACATGTTGAGACATCGATAAGTGTACGCACATCGTTCTGTGTGATAACTGGACACTATTTATTGTTTTTCACATATGTTTTTCAATTTGATTTTGCACATTTCTCTAAACTTACGTGAACGTTTTTTGTATTTCTGTTTCTGTTTTGTGTTTGTTAACGCACAATTTTTTGTTTCATAAAAAGCAAAATTTTCTTACAAACACAAATGTATCGACAGACTACGTTTTTCAGTGAAAGACGAAACGAGATTCACGGATACTGCGAAAATTAATGTAATATTATAATATAATGAATAAACAGTAGAGGAAGAGAGAGCGAAAGAGAGAGAGAGAAAGAGAACGAGCGAGTGAAATAAAAAAACTCCACTTTGTATCAAGAAACAATGTTCTTTTGAATAATAGCGAAAGCGCGAATTATATGTACAGCGAACACTGAATATGGGCTACTACTTTGTTTCGTAAAATGTATCTTGAAAATATTTCTATGTAAATGAATGATAAAACAATAAAAAGAGTATACGCTGTACGGAGACGTTCTCTTTGTGATCACTGTAATCGCTAATGGATCGCAATGACACGTGTACGATTGAAGGAAAACATAATTTTGCGACAATTCAAACAACGTAAGTATCGGCTTTTTTTCTACAGAACGTGAAAAAAAAAAGAAAGAATAGAAGGTAACTGTCTCTCAATAACCGGACATTTGTTACAGAAATAATTATTAGATATGTAGAAAATGAATTTATTATATTATTTTTATAATTGTATATTTTTATTATTTTATTACGTAAAAATACTTAATTTAAGTATTTTTTACAATATCTTTTTAAGTTCTCGACTTCACGTATATAAATATTTGATCATGATTACACTTCTTCGGCAAATGTGTCCCGGTTCGGTTATTGGGACATTTACCTCACATCAAGTTCGTGTGTCACGCGAGTTTGCGAAATAATGCCGACAAAAGTGTAGCACATCGATTGTTCCGTTCAATTCGGTCAAATCGCCGACCTTTGTATACTTATATACTTCTGTTTTATATAACGATCGATATTCAACGATAAGCAACTATTTGCGACGATGATGAATCTTTTATTACGTCACGAATAGGCGCTGACTCGATTCCCCGCACACGCATACATTCTCTCTCCTTGTGTGCGTGTGCTTCCACATTTATATGTACATATATATTCGCACATTCCTAAAGAAATACGCGCGATTGCTTTTTTTGTTTGAATAATACATTATTTTTGAAGCGATGTGTACAAATACAGAAGAGATAAAACAAGAATCAATTTGTGATCTGTTTGAATTTATAGGCAACTCTCTTGTTCGGTAATATTCACTCACACACGTTTTTTGAAAAAAAAAAAAAAAAAAAACGATTGACGTAACACGCGAATAAAAAAGTTCGCGTTTTTACAAGGTAATGAGGCCGTATTCGCAACTTCGCTGAGAAAATCTCATCGGATCTGAACGCAGTAAGATTTGCCCGATATACTACATATATATATTGCAAATTGCCCTTTATGTGTGTAATACGATCGCAAAATGTCAGTCTACATGTCAGTGTTTCTGAAATATCCTCTGAAGCTAAAAGGATGCTACATTCTTTGTTTTGCAACTCCAGAAAAAAATAACATTCTGACTACGTGTGTGTGTGTGTGTGTGTGATCTGGCACCCTTCTTGAATTAAAAGAATTGTTTTTTTTTTTTTCGACGCCGATCCAGAAAAGGAATTTATTACAAAAATAAGTGGAAAGTGTTTTCTCTTACAATGAGAATATATAGTTTTGTTTTTTTCTATGCTAAGTAATGGAACGATGATTCGTTGTGGAGTCGAACCGATGCGGAATTGCGCAACGGATCGATATGATGTCGCGGTATCACGACGTGCCTACAGGGTGGACCGGAATTTCAAATTTCAAGTGTTTTTTTTCATAACGTAGGAAATGAAATATACATTTGAGATATCACAATCGATTCTAGAGAAAACGAAAACAAGAAACCGTTTCCAGCTTTGTATTCCAGAGCCTTTATGTCAGAAGAAAATCAATCGACTCGACCTTTTGAATCTGAAAGACATCAAAATTGGTTTTTAAAAAAAAAAGGATTTTCAATGTTCACAAATAATATATATTTGCAAACGACAAATATTCTAATAAACCGGATATTTGCTGAAGAAATAATTACAACCAAGTATTTTATAAATTAATGAAGTTATATATAATCATTAATTTTTAAAAAATCATATCTGACAAATACTTAAAACATTTGAAAAAATTGTTATGTTTAACAATTTGACAACATCTAACAATTATTTCTTTTACAAATATCCGGCCACTGGTCCGGTTTTGTCGGAGTCTCGCGGCTGCGCACAGAAAAAGAGAACATCCCCCTATTTTCTCCCCGAGAGACGTTATCGCGTGCTCCGATGTACAAGAGGGAATTTCTGCATGTCGTGTTTGTGGCACATGGAGTTGCGGCCCTGAAAGTCACCAAGCTGGAGCGCGCCGCTGAACGTGCGTCTATGTACGTGTGTCGGGAAGGGCGCGCGTGGAGGGAAAAATCTCTCGATCTGCCAACGTTCACAGACTGCCGCGGACCGTCACCGCGACATGTTCCGTTTGGCGCCGGTGTTTCGCCACGTCGTCGTGCAGTGTCCATTTTCTGCCTGCGAAAAGGTAGGCGTCGTCACTGTCGCCGCTGTCTTCACATTCTTTATCGTCATTGTTGTCGTCGTTGTTGTTGTTGTTGTTGTTGTGCAAAACGTGAATGAGACACGCCGCGTTCCGACGATCTCCAGGATTTAATTGACAGTGAAATCTCACGTTAATTGCAGACACGATCTCTCGATTGAGTTAAATCGAGCGTGTTTTTTCTCGAAATTATCAGATCGATGTGACGAGAAATAATTTCACGCCGATGGGTTTCGAATTGGACGCGGCGTGCGAAGATATTTTGCTCTTAGATGCACAATTTTCTTTGATCATACGATAAATTTCTCTCCACATGCCGCGCTCGAGCTATTAAATCAGATTCGGAGACCGCAATGCGTATATACGCATTGCAGTCCGAAGTATACTTCGATTTTAAAGTGCGCAGCAAAAACAAAAAAATCTTTTCTTCACTCGCACGTTAAACAATTTGTTTCATTTTATTGTGTCTCTCGTTTCACAAGAATGCGTGTGTGTCTTTTACTCGAACACCGTGTGGAGAATGCGTTTCGAAAGATTTTAAGTTGCGTTTCGCAACAATGCCGTTTAACATTTACGCGCGCTGTAGACTTGTATTTCTTTGTAATTTTTACACCGCAGTTATGAAATCGAACGAAAGGAATGATCACGCGAAGGCGCGTATGCCCGAGACTTTGAAGCAAATCCATTTTCGTGTGACAAAAAACGCGTTGTTTTGTCCTTTGCGAGAGATTAATCGATACTCACAGCAGCGTATTTGGAGCAGTTTTATAATCACGAAACTGTTATATCGAAACGCTTCGAGTTTCGACCTTCACTCGGACTGTCGAAAAAACACAATGAGAAAATAAAAAGCATTACCTAAAGAATACAAAAAAAAAAAAAAATAAAATAAAATAAAATAAATATGCGTTAAGTCACACTGCGTTAAGTGACATGAGGAGACAAGTGTCAATCGTCAATTAAAAAAAGAATTTAATAAAAGCAACTATACTTAAAAATAAACACATTACCAGAAAAATTAATTATCACTGATAAAAAAAAATCCGAAATTTGTTGGATTATTTGCGCGCACCCAACATATCACGTAGATCGACATTTATTTATTTTTATTCAGAATTTACTCACATATTGACTGCTAATCTTTTTTTTTTTTTTTTTACAAAGATTTTATAGTTAATGTACTTGGATAATAATGTGTAATTACATGTGTGTGTTTGTTTTAGGCATTACACAACGATATTGTGATATCCGTGATCGTTCGAGGCTTCTAATCGACACTTTCTAATCGGGAAACGATTTCGCTGATTAACTTATGTGCTCGGCGGCAACAAATTGTCGTCAACAAAATTCCACGAGATGTTCACGAGAACAGAACATGACAACTTAGGTGACATCACTGGATAAGGCGGACTGGTGACGAGAGACAAGAAACTTAAAACGCAAAGACAAAGAGACGGGGAACATTAATTTGACGTAGCGATGATACAAGCGGCGAACACGTGCGCTTTCCACATGTTGTCGCCGCGACGGCAAGTGTAACTTTTGCTAAGAACGTATTCAGGTATGTATCGCGATATTTTTTCACGTCTTTCAAAGCGATCTTTCGTCGATCACGTGTTCTTTGACATAAAAACAAATTCTTTTCACAGACCGACACTGAATTTTGCAAAGCAAAAAATCTCTTTTTGTTTTATTCTCTTTTTAGTATATTTAATAGTGCGTATTTCTATAGTTGTTTTAGTAACATATTTTTATAGTTTCCTTAAGTGTTTTTCTTCTCTCTTCTTTCTCCTTTCCCTCTTCAAGGCGAAAGTTCCAAATAAGTCGAAAAGGTCGCCTTTTGCAGGTCTTCGATACTTCGCGGGAAATTTTTTCGCGTTAATTATGTTGGGTTTTGAGGGACGTGTGACGTAAAGCGAGGGCAACCTTCATTCGGGGGAGATTCCGGTTTTCTTTTTCGAGTTGTTGAATAGATTGTTGTCCGAATAGATCGTCGCGAAAAATATCTTCTCGTGCCTCGGTAACCGAGTTGAAAAAACAGTTCGTAGCGAGTAAAGGTGATCCAGGTAAAAGGAAGAGATACTTTTCACAACGGTTTTTTCCCCACAGAATAACATCAAAATTCGTCTTTGTATCCAGTTTGTTTACGCAGATAAAGTAGTAGACTAGGCGCAGGTACGTTGTCTGGCCTGCTGTCAAAAATACATCATTTTAAAATTGTTTTCGTATATTGAACTGAACCAAAATTTATTTCACATTAATTCAAAACAATTAAAAATGTTTCAATCGATTTGTTACCAGCGATGTTTTGTGACCTTTCGTGTTCTCGCACAATCCCCTATCTGTCGACAACTCTGTGTAAATTGCCATTGTCTCTTTTACAGCTGATCCGTGGTTCGTTGGCCTTCTGCTCGTTAGATAATTGACAGATTATCGATCTATTAATTGAAAGCTGATTTACTCGTCAGTGACTGACAACGCCCTAGAATTCATCTTATCATTAACCAGGTAATTGATATCGTAAGTCATGCGCATCAAATCTTCCTTCTTTCGATTTTTGTCTCGAGAGGAAGAGAGAGAGAGAGGAAAAACAAATTATAGCAGTCGCGAGTAACAAGACATCGCCAAGGTTATCGGCATGCAATTCTCACTGCCGCGTCCACTCGTCAACTGTTATCGCTCGACCACCGACAAACCTCGCGATGATAGACGGTTATAAAAATACATGCAAAGAATAACGCGCAAGTTTTTTGTTCCGATATACTTACACACACACACACACGCACACATAAAAATGTGAAAGACTTTCTATTTTCGTCGTTTGAAGAAAAAAATCTGATGACAACGTGGCTTTGTGAAAAAAAAAAAACGCAGAGATCAAAGTGTTAATTTAGAATGAGATTACGCGACAAATACACAGTACCTAATAAAAAAAAAAAAAGCAGTCCTTAATTGAAGCTCGTTTTCCGTTCCGAAAATTACATATCGCGCGATCGAATAACTCGCACGTACGTATACTTTTTATTGTAGATAATTGCAACCTTATTCGTTCTTATCAGTCTTGTTACTCGCCGTATACATATACATGTTTTTAATTTAGAGCAGATCTATCGCTTGTCTGGTCTAAAGTTGAATATACTCTTTTGTGTGTTTCAGCGAATTTGATTCTCGTGTTCGCGAAATATTTCCCGGAAACCAAACGCAGAGTGTGCGGAGTTATTCGGGCGCATTATTCCGATCGATTCGACCTCAGCGCGCAAGAAACAAGAGAGATCTCGCAACACTTACCGGTGTCTCAGACATCGTGTGCGTGTGTTTGCGCGAGATATTGATCCGCGCGGCGACAATCCCCATTTGTCGGGTTAACTTTGTGCACAGGGAGATACGGAGTATCTCCTATATGCGCAGAAAGACAGAGAGAATGTGTATGCAAGTCGTTAATCATGTTCTCGAAACGAGAAGATCATCGAGGTAATAATAACGAACAATAGTTCTGTAAACAAACCGTACGGGGAAATCGTCCTCGCGGTCCGAGTTGTTTCCGATCGAAACAATAATCAGACAGCAAACTCCGTGGAATTGAAAAAAAACTGTGAAATGACAGAAATAGGTCGCGAAGAAAAACAAGCGCGCGGCCTTGAAACTGATGACCGAGTTTGATTGAGCGCGGTCCGATTAAACGCCGCGGCATTATTTCTTACGAGAGATTACGAAGATCCGGAAGAGCGCACGCGACGACAACAACAACGACGACGGACAACCAAGACGACGATGACCACAGGTACGACGGCCAGCAGTGCCGTGTAACGTGGCCGGGAGCGCCCAGGGTATAAGCACGGCGTATTAATAGCCAAGTATAGGTACCGTGGTGGGGCCGTGGCTGCCTCGCGGGTGAAAATAGAAAAGAATGTTTTTGGAATCCAATTGGACTTGGTTGGCAGAACGATGGGGCAATATGGCCGACTTGGCCGAGCGGGTGGACGATCTGATATGCAGTTTTGACTCGACCGGTGAGACGACCATGGATACGCTGTCGATGCTGATATTCGGCTGGATGCTGTTCGGTCTGGTGGTGTTGTGTGTCGGCAAATACGTGTACAATCGCTTCGTGTTAAACGAGCTCGCCGCCACCAACGCCGTCGCCTCGTCGCTGCAGCTCGGTAAGGACGGCCATGCCCATCACGGCGAGAGTGTTGTGATCGCGAACACGGTTGCTGGTACCACAGTCGCGAGACTGTTCGACAGCAAATCCAAGTCGGTGTCACCGACGTCGTCGACGTCCTCGTCGTCGCTCACGAAGGCTGGTGCCGCCGGTGGTACCGTAAGTGCTGGTGGTGGCGGCGGTGGTACCGCCGGTGCTGCTAGTGGCGGCGGTGGTGGTGGTGGTAGTGGCGGCAGTGGTGGCGGTGGTGGTACCGGTGTGATAGCAGGTGCTAGATCGCCGTCACCGGGAGGCTATGTGCCGCCCACACCGCCGGTCAGGAAACGCTTGACCAGGAAAGGTTCCGGCGCGCTCATCAGCCCGTCCCGCAGCTCCAGGGCGCTGCATCTACCGACCGCGACCGGCGCCGACGCGGAGGCCGTGCGCTGGGTCAACGAACTCATCATGTGGTTGTATCACGACCTCGTGATACTCAACGAACTCCTGGCCGTCTGGGTGGTCTCTCTAAACGACTTCACCGCCAACTCCACTGACGAAGTGAGATGATTAGATAACAAACGGTCTAAGTTATTATTGATCTGTTTTTGCGATTTATTTAACGATTTATACACTTATCGCATCGATGCAAATATCAAAAATGCTCTCGAGAGCTCGATCTTTTTATCATTGTTTTTCAAGTTTTGTTAATTGCTACAAGTGCCTCCGCTTAATAATTACTCAACGTGAAATCGAAGCCTTGTTTTGCAACTTGTTGTGCGCTCGATAAGGAGTGTGAGATATGTGAGTGAAGTGAGAGCTCCTTTCGAGGCGTGGGTGATTCTCCGACAAAACGCTGAAAAGAGAAGGGGAGAATACGCGCGTGCGCGAAATCGAGAGCAAGTCGAGCAAGCCGAGCGGAGAACGCGATAACTGTTTTTTTTTTTTTTCTTTACAATCAGATGACTGTACCGCAAAATTACACACAAAGCAAAAGATTCATTTCGGCTTACGCAAAAACATTGGGTTTATTTGTTACTGTCTTTCTAACGCGTTTTATATTTTATTTGTTCTTCGATGACTGATTATATTTTGTTGCTCCGCGCTTTAAAATTAAACAGAACCTTTCCAAATTCTACCGTGTGCTATCGAATGACTCATTTGATGAGAAACCGTATTGATTCGCGAAAACTCGAACGCGTTCTCGAATAGTTATTTCTCGTTATGCGATGTCGTCTATCGATTTTAATTTTATGTGTCCCCAGATAGACTGTTCAATGTGTACAAAAATTTTAATTCCACTTGTTTTTCTTTTGTTAACACAATTTATTTACATCTTTTTCTTCTTAAGTTTTGATATTGGCGTTTCATTATTCTCCAATTCTGTTTTAGCAAGTCAATAAATCTCTCATACAAAAATTTTATAAATAATCGATATTTTTAATACGTGATTTTAAAACTTAACACGCATAAAAATTTACTCGCGAGAATTGCGTCTTGACAAATTTTTGCGAATCACTATACTTAATGTACATGACGTGTTGCGTTAAAATCTTCAACGAAAACACGCAAAATAATCATTTACATAGGTCAAGGCTATCACACATGAAAGACCAGTAATGTGTATAAAAAATGTGTTATGGTCCGGCGCTGTCCTTGCCACATGAAGCTCGCGATGATGTCATTTCGCTGGAATAACTTTATACATTTCGAAGCGTATCTTCGAGGCCATTTTAATTCGAATTAATTTATGATCTACTTATCACGCATTATTCGCGATCTATAAAAATGATTTTTTTTGACTATTTTTTACTATTTTTATTCGAACTATTCTAATTCTCGTTATTTTCGCTACATCTAAAAAACTGTTAAAAAAATACATGTAAAATATATGTAATTGATGAAAAACATTATTATTAAACATTGATGATTAAAATTGTTATTTTTTTTTTTCAAATTATGTCTATGTATGTTTAAAAATTATCGTTTGTTAATCCACAACATCTAGCACATTGTTAGCGTACGTGTAGCTTGTAAATTTTATTCCGATTATGCAAACAAGTGTGTGAAAAGGATTGAGAGATGCTTATGATATCATCGTCTTAAGTAAGATTACGTGTGTCGGTGTTTAAACTCTTCGGGGACTGACTTCCAAAAAAATGTTTCGACTAACTGGGTCTGGGTGAGACCCGCGCGACTTTAAAATTAACCATTTTCGCTAAAAATCAATATTTTTCAAATTTTTTGAATCAAAAGTTTGAACAATTCTGCATCGATAAAAAAAAACAAATTGAAAAACTTCGAAGATGGTGTTCGAGTTTGAACTGCGTTAGTGTCATTTTTATAGCGACGTTTCGTAAACATTTGATAGTATCAGGGTGCTCTTGAAATACTGAACTGAAATGTTTGCAAAACATTTAACGTTAACGGTATAAAAATGACACTAACGCGGTTCAAATCCAAAAACATCTTATAATTATTAATATAACACTCCGCGAAAGCATCAAATATCAAATTGAAAAAATCTCTGATAATTTCGAAGATATAAGCGTTTAAAAAAAAAACGAATTTTTATTAGACACTGATACGCAAGTTTTGAGTGGGTCTGGGAGATCCGTATCCGTTCACGAAGGGTTACGAAGAACACCGACATCTCGGAGCGCCGTCAATATGTTGCGCGGTTTGCCGTTATCACAAACACGCAAATTTAAGACGATATGATTCGCCACACAACCTTCAAACGTAAAATTGAAAAAATTAATGCGATTATTGCTGTCTGATGAAATTACAATTAAACATTTGTATGTTTTAGCATGGAGTCGGTGTTGAATTTGTCCGCGTTCTTCCGGAAACAAATCCGCCAACTTTATCGAATATTTTCTGCGAATGCGACTCGAAGGATGATGTGGTACGGATATTGTGTCTAGTTTGTTCTTGTAACATTCTGTTTGAAAAATGTCTTATATATCATTGTCATTGTTTTCTGCTTTTTTATTTCTAGACTATTACGTGCGATTGCGAAGCCACTCCGGCTTTGCAAATGAAAGCATTTCGACAACGAGGCGACAAATTGGACGTTAGTCACTATCGGGTTAATGTCAATCGGTTTCGCGCTCGTCTCAACATTGTCTGCATCACTGAAAAACTATTGATCGATCTGAAATGCGACGGCTGGCCGGAAGTACGTATACTGCGAACGTTTTTGTCACTCAGTCTGAATCATGTGTGTGTGAGATAATACAACATTTTTGTAGGAAATTGCTGGATAATAGGCACGATGTTTTCCAAGAAAAAAAATGTTTAAAAAACCTTCTTTATCCCCAAATTGCAAAAAAAAAAAAAAAAAAAACAGTCAGCCGTAAAAGTTGACAGTTTTATGACTGATCCCTTTTTGGCAACCCTTAAGCGAGAAGCTGTCTATTTGTTCGCTTTGTTACGATCGCTCCTAATTCTTCCTCTCTTCGTGGTTCATTCCGAGCGGCCAAGAACATTTTTGGCTTGTTTGAAGAAAATTCGACTCTCCCTCTCTCTCTCCTAAGGTCCTTTCTAAGATTTCCGCTTATATCCGGCGAGTACTGTATTCGCGCGATCTTCATCTTCTCATCTGGGTTATAATACGAGAGAAGAATGTTTATGATTTATTATTCCGTTATCAGGTAAAAGTCTCGCTGGCAGCGGTGGGTACAATAAAGAAAGATTTGGATGAAAGCCAGCTGCAAGAAGTGGTGACGGAAATTGTTGTGGGAGCTTTGCGTGGCATCAATGTTCATCTCAATCTTTCCCAATATCCCACCTGTCCTCGTTTATGGAGAGAACCACCTCCCCAGCCAGGTTTCTCATACTCCACGCACTACGACAATGTGGTGAGCGATTTATAATTGAATTATTGAATGTGCAAAAGAGTGTATAACATGTGCGTTCACTGTCCGTGCTTTGATCTCGCAGAACGCTTTGAATTCGACACGTCAGTCCTCGCAACAACGATCTCACGGACATACCACGTCGTCGTCGTCCCTGATACAATACATGCCCGGAGAGAAACGGTTGCTTGTGAAGGTTGTGAAAGCTGCCGATCTCGGCGGTCAGCAAGGCGCGCTCAAACCTTACTGCGTGGTAGAGGTGGACGAGCCGCCGCAAAAGCATCAGACCTCTATAAAAAAGGACACCAACAGTCCACTATGGGATGAAGCATTTTTATTGTAAGTTCCCACGGAAAAAAGTATATCTGCACGGTTACAACTTTTATTATTCTTTGTGCGTGTATTATGGTATATTTTGTTATGTTAACAAATAATCAAAATAATTTAATAATTTATTGTTTTACATTTGTTTAATAATATTATATTGTATATCCGAAGAAATTTCAATACGTATTCACAGTGACGTAAACCACAACACAACCGAAGTATTGTTAGAGGTGTTTGATCACGTGAACAAAAACCAAAGATTCCTGGGACTAGGAATTGTGGGCGTAGAAGAACTACTTGCGAATCCAAGTCAGCGGCAGATCATACCTCTTCAAGCGCGACCGTACGAAGAGGATGACATTACGGGCACCCTCACAGTAGAGGTAATTTAATATTCTGATGAATTATTCTTTTAGTTTTGAAAGTTTAAAATAAAAACGTATTTTGCTGCAACAAAACCTCTAAAATTGATGCATAAACGAACTCTTGAGAAACATCTTTCTTTGCCAAAATTTCGAGTCTTTTTTCGCGCGTCGCGTTTATTTCGGTTTTGTTCCCAACAGTTTCTGTTCATCGAGGGTGCAGAGGTACCACAAATCGGGACCAAACCCTACAAGGTCAAAGAAACGATAAAGCCGGTTTCGCCAACTCGGTCCTACAGCCAAATGAATGTCATCAGCAGCAATAATCTGAATTATAACAATGGTAACAGTACACTTATCTTGTACGACTCTGCCGCGCAATCTGAAGGGGGTAATTACTGATTACTTATCAGGCGTTGATGTGTGGAACACCCGATTGGTTTTTTGATTTCTTTGTTTTTAGCATAGCTGAAGTTTATATTTTTATCCTTGTTCCCTCTTGAAACCAGATCATTTACATCTCATGACCGGAATTGATTTGAATCCTTTAATAGGCGTCACGGTTTTTTTGTTAAAATTTATACAAATTGCGTCACACACATATCCGTCAAGACCAGCCCCCCAACGTAGTTAGTCGCATGAACAGATTTTTTTTTTCTCCGTTCACACAAGAGAAGATAATTTTATTGCCGAATTATAATAAATATGATATGATACACATATAAAATATATAGTGCTTACAAATAATACAATGTAAGTTGAATACCACGGTAGATATAAAGGTCTTTTGTATGTTAAACGACTAACGTTTTCATTAGTCAGCAATAGTCAGAATATAGAGAATCTCGATCGCAATAGTAGATTTTATCGAATTTCGTTTTGACGATGTTTTTGAAATTTTAATCAGAAAAATTTGTCTTTGTAGATTATTTGCAGACAAATGGCAACGTTGTGGATTCCCCGCACAAAAGTGGACAGACAAACGGTAACAAAGGAACTTTAATTGTACACAGCCAAAGGGTAAGTTTTTTAAGCAACGAAAAGCACTTTTTACTCTGTGTGTGTGTGTGTGTGGCGTGGACATGACAGTTGCGTGAAATTGAATTACGAATGTTCACAACGGTCGTGTCTGTGTGTGCGTCTATGTGTGTGGGTTTATATGAAAATAGATGGTTGCAATTTTTTAGTTAAAAAATCCTATAGAATAATTTTAATTAGAAGTGCCCATCTGCCAAATTTCGTTTTTTCTTTTGTAAAAACCGAACACTAAATATAACATTTACCTTCTCAGTAAAAAATTTTCCATGTATAAAATTGTATGGACATATTCGGTATATAAATTTGCATAATTAGATATAATAACTTTAATTTGTGTATAAGTATATATGATTGTATATCAAAAATTTTTTCAAAATATAGTAAAAATATAGTTTTATACAATTTTTTTGTATCTAACATGATACTCTAATAGAGTTATTTTGTAATTTGATGTGGAATATCTCTGAAGCCATTTTCTTAAAAAAAGAAATTCTCCGTGTATAAAATTGTATGGACATATTCGGCATATAAATTTGCATAATTAGATATAATTATTTTAATTTGTGTATAAGTATATATAAAAAATTTTTTACCGGGTTGTTTCTCAAAAAATTATGTCCCTTAGATATTCTAGCTAGTTTGTTAATATTTTTTGTCCTTAAATAACATACAAATATCATGTTGATTTATTTTCTTGCTAAAGCATGTGAATTCGTTTGATTTTTATTGCAGCAATCGGAGCGACAGGTTGTGAAGGTAAGAAAGATATTTGTTGGCTAATATGTTGGAATTTGACGAGTTTGTGACTCAGATAATTTTTTCCTTCTCACAACTCGCACTTCGATTTACTTTAACAATGAGTGTCTTGAATATGTTTTACAAAAAAAATTAATCGCTGATTGAATGCGGTGTGTTTACTAACGTAACAGGTCGCTCTGACAGAGGACGGAAACTGGCAGGAAATTTCCCCGAGTGTAAGTAAACTTAATACGCATTTATATTATTCTTTATTGTAATAAACGAACATTTATACTAACACAAAAATCTATTGTACGTTTATATAATTTTTGAACGCGAACGTGTGTTTTGCAGCACGGAACAAAAGACGTCACTCCCACCTCGGGACCAGAAAGCACGCCTAATTCCTCTATATCAGAAGGTATAAAATTAAAAAGATATGAAATTAAAAAGAAAAAGTATTAAAAAAATAAAGACATTATATAGATACCGGCACTCTTTTGCAGAGAGAGGAAGAACGCGAAGAAAACGACGCGATTTCTTCGGCACCATAAAGAAACGACTGAGTCGGTCCAAGACGAGAAGTCGATCGGTCGGTCCCGAAGGGGAGGTCAATCACGAAGATGCTCACTCGAGATCCATATCCGCCGACAGAGCTCGCGATCCCGGATCCGGTAAGAATCCACAGATTCCACACCGTGCTTCTTCCAAATATATTGTTTTTACTGTGAAACTATTACAAAACTAATGTTTTGATGTGCGTAGAGTAATATATTCTTGTTACATACTTTTGGTGTTTAACATCTCTCTCTATATAGAATACTTTTAGTAGTGTTTAACATCTGTCGTTGTGCAAAGTAGTAAGAAATTTTCAAGCAAATTTACCTCGCGACGTAAATTTGTTTCCCCTACCATACGCGTAGATTATCTTTCTTAGTCTTTTTGTATTATTCCCCTTGTGAATGTAATGTACTCATCTGTGCACACATTTTGTCTTGCCCACATATGTGTTACTCTCACATGGTATTCGACTTCGGTAAGTAATGGGATCGTATAGGATGGTACAGTAGTCTGCGATTAACTTGTTTGCTTTTTCGAGCAATAGAAAAAAACCGATAGGAATTATCATATTGTCACATAGTAATACGAATATCTGTTGATATATTTAACAAAGTATCGTTTAGAAACTTATTATAGGATAAAGATCACTTGACGCGCCGCGTGTATCTTCAAACGGACTGTATTTTTGTCTATTCGCTTTTGCGCTTCACATTTCTGTTTTTTTTCTCTCTTCTTATCTGTTTGCACTAGCGCGTCTGATGCGACTCAACTTGACTTGTTTTTTGTAGCGCATCTGTCGGTGCCAGAACAATCGAGACGATCGAGTCTGAGCGAGGCCTCGGGTATCAGCGGAACATCCACGAGAACGTACATCAACGAAGCTTCCACGCTCGTTCTAGAAACTTTGGAGAACGGTATAAAAAAGTAAGCGGTATTCTCTCTTTTTTTACAAACGGGATCTATCTGTTTTAGATCCTATATGTATCACAAATAAACAGATTAGTTTTTCTGGTTCACAATGAAATTGCGTTTCTATTTCAGACACTACCTCGTACCTCTTTCGCTCGCACAAAAGAGCAAATGGAGGAAAAAGGGCACAAAGTTGCATATATTCAACGATCACACATTTATCGCCAAACACATGACCGGGTGAGTTGATAATCGTGACAACATCATCGATCTTCGAGAGATCGCAATACATCGTTCGGTTTGGATGAAAGAAGACTTGATTTTTTTTTTTTTTTTTTTTTTTCAGAGGGACAGTCTGCGAGGTGTGTAAGAGAACTCTCGCGCGAAGACTTGGCAAGCAGGGCTACGAGTGCAGAGATTGTCAAATGAAATGTCACAAACACTGTCACGTGAAGGTCGACATAACATGTCCCACGTCCACTATTCAGAGCATCGAGCTGTAAGTATCTCTTACGCGCGAATCTCGACGCGAAGTTCATTCCAATTTAGACGCGCATTTTTGTTGTGCTCCAAACTCCAAATGAAACTTGCACAGAGAGAGTTTCGGTTTGAAGAAACTAAAGTTTCACGAGTGTTTGGAAACAACATTATTACAATTGCGTGCGCGAGCGGGTGAATGTGCGTTAACGTATGTGATGTAATTTAATTTTTCGTAATATATAATTACGATGACTACATTTCTCTTAATTGTAACTTTTCCACCCTTTCTCGTGTAAGGTCCCTACTGCCAGTACTCAGCGAATAGGATAGGGATAGGTAAGATCTTCTGAGTTTTGACATGAAGTGAATGTTTGGTAGTGTAGTGCACGAAGAAAAACTGCCTGTGTCCTCAGAAATATTCAACTCAACTATATCCGACTTTATCGGAGATAAAATTTTGCTTGTGTTATAAGTGCCTGCGTCTTTTCAATATTTAACCAGATTTTTATTATTATTTCTTGTGTCAAATCAATCGGTCAATAAAAGTGGATCAGTAGTTTTCGAATAACACTGATCGTCGCTTGAATATATCTGCGTTGTAACTCGAATGCATATGTTTCGTGTGGCGTGTATGCGCGACATTATTTTCAATTTCTTCCTATCTGTCTATTTTTTTAAATTGCAGAATTAGGTGAGGCACTCTTATATAGCGATCTTTTGTCATTTTTAGGACGTGCATCAAGGCTCCGCCGCTCGAACGAAAACCTTCAATGCTCCTCTGTTCGCGATAACATTACACAAACGCGATAATATTACTTATTTTGTAAGATAAAAAAAAAAACAAAACGATTAACGATCGTTATGTACTTGTAAAATATTTTATATTTTTGTTCTTCCATTTTTTTGGGCGAGACGAGAGATAACTTAAGCTGCGCACTCGTCGACAGTTTGCGAATACACAGTTGTTTCAGCCAGTGAACTCTCTGTCGGAATAATTCAGTCTAATGAAAAATGATATGAAAAAAAAAAAAAAAACGGCCAAAGATAGAAGATTTGAGGTAAAAAAAAGGCGTGTATTATTTCTGCCTTCATCTGTATACTTATTAAAAAATTAAAAAATCGCAAAAAATTTAAGCAGTTAAAATTTATTCAGAGTGAGAAAGAAATGACGCGCAAAAAAATTTGATTTTTATTTCAATTGCGGCTGTTTCTCGTAGCATTGAAATAAGCATTCCAGCGTAGACTTCACTGGTTTCAGCAGGCGATCAAAGAGTTCTTTACATATATTTGCGCGAATACACTTAGAATCTAATAAAAGAGTCACGCGCGCGAAGCAAAGTTGTTGAATTAAATTTATATTCTTATACTACATGTGAAAGAGGAAGAAAAAGAATTACTGTTCTCTACGAAAAAGCGAGTGAAATGAAGTGTGTAAATTATCCGGTAAAAAGAAAACTTAATTTTTTTCATTTGAAAAGCTACTTCCCGTCTGTGTTCAATATTTTAACATTTCGTCAACGTGATTTATTTGTTCTCGTGTTTATTCTAACAATAAATAACGAAGACAAAATAAAAAAAATCAAATGTTGAAAAAAATGTGTATTTATATATAATGCATATATATACTGAAAAGATACACGAATATCTACTTTAATTTAAATATGTATCGCTTATTTTTATTCTAATGATCATGGCACGCACGCAATTTTTCTACCTTGTCTTGAGTAAGTCATTAACCCTGCAAGGTCAGACACGTGTCTTCCAGACTCGCTCAAAAATTGCTTATCGGCGTTTCCAGAAAAAATTTTAGTTATTTTAAACGCTTATATCTTCGAACTATTAGATATTTTTTCAAGTTGTTTTTTTTTATCGACGTAGAATCGTTCAAACTGTCAGTTTGAAAAAAAAAAAAAAAACAAACAAAATTGAAAAAATATGGATTTTTCGCGGAGATATTCGATCTTAAAATCGCGTAGGTCTCACAGACCCGGTCTGGCCAACTAATCGTTATTTTTGAGGTCTCTGGCCACGAAGGGTTAATAAGTAGAACGATCACTTTTGTTCGACTAATAAAGCGTCATTGACGTTAACTCGATCATGCTACCGTTTTGCTACGAGCCAAAGAGGTGATATTTATTTGACATATGCAGATGATATTTATTTGACATATCTTTTGTAGAGAGAGAAAGAGAGAGAGAGAGAGAGATAGAAAGAGAGAGAAAGAAAAAAACGATAAATAATCTGTTACGCAGAATTCTTTTGATTCTGTTGTCTGAGACGCATGTTTTTTATACAATTATTTAACGACTGAACATATAATTGCTACGATAGTAATTAATCGCAGAAATATCATAGCTAACTTTAACAACGGAAAACAATGACATAAAATACATTAGACTGTCGCATTCTAATCGTATCGGACTTACACATTTTCCTTACACGTTTTTAACAAACTTTTTAACGCACCTTATAACACGTACCTGTATAGTTTTGCCTTAATGCAACAAAAACAAATATACGTCTAGTAACGTTATTAACGGAACGACAAGGGCTTTATTTTTGTTACTGCGTTTATAGTGATAAAAGGAATGTTCGCGAATTGGAGAAGAGGTTCTATCAAACGTTAAGTGACAACACGAATATATAAGTTAAAGATGTCGCAGATGTCCATATACGTGAAATGATTGATTGCTAGCCAGTTAATAGTGCAATTCAATTAGCGACAGTAGAAAATTCGCAATAAGAAGTAAACGTCTAACGTCAATTTCTATCCTTCTTTTTTTATCTTTTTGCGCAAAAATCAATGTAAAAAAATTAAATTCTCGAAACGGTTTAATGGTTGTAACGTACTCGATACATATATATGTATATTAATAATGCGTTACATATATTACATAAATTATATTATCAAATTATATATCTAAATTATATATATATATATATAGTATATCAAATTATATAAATCATACATATATTACATAAAAATAGGAACGCGAAATAAAATATATTTAAATCTCTTTTGACTTAATATATACATATATATATTTTTTAAATCATAAATGTGTGATTCCAAAATCTAAAAAAGAAGCATACAACAAAAAAATAAACAAAGCAAGCACATCGTAATACGCGTCCTTGAGAATCCTGTCAGATGGTGACGAGATTGGTACAAAGTTAAACGAAGCACAAGTCATCTGTATATACAAAAATATCTTATATATATTACATCAAATATATGTAACTTTTTAATTACACTTGTCTTACGTCATTATATACTCCTCGCTCGCACAACACGGCGTGAGAAGCAGGACAAGCGATACATACTCTCAGACCATTAGCGTTTCTCGGGTTTAGCAATTAAATCAACTCTGGTTGTTTATCGTCATTGTCGCTTTTTTGCGAAAAACTCACATTTCTTGAGCAATTGCAAAGATATTTTTTTTATTTTTTAACATACATTATTGCATTCTGAAGACCGCACACACAAAAACAGCTTTATATAGTTTTAATTACTGCACACAATGATCATTATTTATAAGATATTAGTAAAAAGTTTTATATCTCTTTGCGATTCTTGATGGTGCTGTATACTTGAGTATACGCAAATTTTGGGTCACCTCTATCTCCGACTAGTCAATCTTAAATAATAAGTTATAATTTAAGCATTATGCGCAAAGTGTAAACCGCGATATTTTGATAATCGAAAATTGCATAATTTACGACACTGATGCAATCGGTGCGATTTATCGCTATAACAAATTACACATGTATGCGTTATAATAAATTATATACATGTATATATACATGATATCCCAGAGAAAGCAAGGTGACTTCATTATGACGTCATTAGACATCGATTTAGCGGCATTGTGACGTAAATGACGTCACCTTGCTACCAGGGACAGACATTTATATATACGATTTCTTCTTCCGCTCTCTGCAGTAATAATACATTTCTGTTCGCCGAAAGCAAATTGTAAATCATCGCGTGTAATCATTGAAACATCGAAAGAATTAACGAAGTGTCGAAATAAAAAAAAAAAAAAAAAAGCGACGACGATTGTGTGCCTATACCAATAATTATTATGTAATTCTAAAAAAAATAATGCCTGAAATTTTTTTAGACACAGCCGAGATGTAAAGATAGATTTGGTTTCAATCTCTGAACAGAATTTTTGCGGATTTTGCAACACAAAAATTGTGCACATGACTTTTTTTTTATTCAGATTGACTCGATCTACTTTTGACTGTGTCGAAAACATTTCAGACATCCTCTACTCATTAACAATGCGAGAAAGTCTATTGTGAACAATATTTCCAATTGTTCAACGAAAGCTTTTTATTCTCTCTATTTAACATCGATCGTACGTTATCTCTCTATCCTCTATAATATAAAAAAGAAATATATATATATATAAAATATGTAAAGACCATGACAGTTGTGCATTGTCGATTTGTAATAAGTATATATATATATAATGATATTGTTAAGAAATTGTAATACAGAATAACAATGCGGATAATACCGCACTGTAATATATTACAGAGAGTATAATATATAATATATTATAATCCTTTAACATTACATCGTTTTGTTTAATTTTCATATTTCCTTTACTATTGTCACACACAAACACACATCTTAGAAATTAATTAACAAAATTAAAATTAATGTCTCCGCATACAAATAATAATTAACTTTTGTCGCGTTTTTTTCTTTCAAAGTTTATTTTTCGCTGTATTTGGTGTCGCTTTGTATATATGTATGTGTATGTACGTTCGTAATACTTTATAACGGGCGCGGAAATGCGACACTTGACATTTTAAATCACGCGCTGCGATTGATTACATTTCGCTTTTCTTTGCCGTCAGAGCAATCACGTCCGACGTAAAGGAACTACATTTTACAAAGCGTATGTACGTTCTCGTCGATGTTAAGCATTCGATGTCGACCGTTAAAAGTCACGGAAACTCTTTATATCAATATATTCTTTCTTTTCTTCAGTAAAAAGTATAAAATAATAATAACAATTTAACAAAATCTTTTTTTTGCTGTTAAAATCATTTGATTTTGTTTTTATAAAGCGATATAAAACAATTTTACAAAAAAGTACGTTGTTACAAAACAGGTTCTGAAAGAAGCAATAATATACTTCGGAGCATTGGTGTGTTCGAAAAAGTCCGATCGATTTTAACACGGTGCATATATATATAGTGCGACAATCAATTTTCCAATTCACCGCATATATCACAGCCGTCAAAATTAGATCTCGAATTGTATCTGATAAAGGGTGCATCGAACGAGTGCAACGCCTATTGAAGTCCCATTAAATTAATTAAACAATCTTTTAGTACGTGCGTCTATATCCTCCATTTTTATGAAAATGAAGCTCTCGAAAGAAGTTATTCAAAAAACAAGACAATAATGCATCATTTAACAAAATTGATCAATTATAAAAAAAAAAAAAAACTAAACTGATATACAATTTAGAAACAAAATTTTTAATTGTCAACACACAGTTCTTAAAAAGAAATCCAATAAGTAAGACAATTGGAGCAGGAAAGTTTGTGGAAAAATAAATGAAAAAACAAAACTTTCATAATTGTAGAAACTTTCCGATCGTTTATTTATTTTCTGTCTCATCTTCAGCTTCGTTTTAAGTAAAAAAACGAAATTTTATTTGGAAACGAATAGAAACGCGATTCTGTATGAAAAAAAAAAAAAATAAATTTACTGTGTAAACACGCGGCAATCGTTCACGGGCACGCCTGGGAATAAGCAAACACGAGAAAGAAACCCTCTTTCTACCATTCCCAATG